AACATGTATCAGCATGTTTTGCGAGACCCGCTAAATGTCAGTAGCCATACGTTTGGAGCCAGCTAAATGTCAATAGTCGTACATTTGAGGCCCGCTAAATGTCGATCATCATAGATTTGAGACGCTGGAAATATCAATAATAATAAATACCAGCTCTCTGAAATCGGCGCTGACCGCCGATTTCATCATAGATTTGAGACCGGCGCTGACCGCCAGCAGCCGCCCGGCGGCTGCCGGCGGTCAGCGCCGGACAGAATAGGTGATCGAAGGAAACCGCTCGTCCATTACCTCCCCAGCCGGCGTCGGAGAGGCCAGAATCGGAGAGACCAGAAGCGGATGACGAAGGCGTGGATCCGCACATCCCTGTAGAGGTACTGTGCCACTGCAAGTAGGGCAACGTCTTGCGCGTGTAGGTGGTTTCGTTTCCATAATCGGCACTGGAGTGGATCTCGAACTGCTTGCGGTAGTGGTAGCTTTGCCCACGTCCGTAGCCTTTCCAAGAACTGTAAAACCTGTCGGTAATGCATGTGAACGAGGTTGGGGGTCTAAAGCCCGAGGATGGAAGTCGAAAGGTGGAGGTTGTGAGCCGGAAAGAGGAGGTTGGGAGTCAGTAGGTGGAGGTGGAAGTCGATGCTGGGAGGTGGAAGTCGATGCTGGGGGGTGGAGGTCGGGAGGTGGAAGTCGATGCTGGGAGGTGGAGGTTGGGAGGTCGAAAGGTCGAGGTTGGGAGCTGGGCGTGGGAGAATCGATGTGTGTAGCTGGAGGCAGAGAGTGGCGTCGGAGAACAAAGTATGAGTGTAGAGCAGGGTGTACATGTTCTGCAATGGTGGACAAGTCGGTAGCTTTGCCCGGAACGTCCACGTCCCAGAAATCAGAAAGTATACCGTACGTTGGTGCGGCTCGGGCACTGTCTGAAACTGCTAGTGCTCGCCGTGCGTCCTGGGCGGATCCTTTGGACTGTCCTTTGGCGCTGCCTTTCAAGTTTTGTGAAGCACGCTGGGCAATCCCGTCACACGTCTATGTCAACTCCCATAGCTTCTCGTTCGTGCGTAACTCCTCCCATTCCGCCCATGCTCCCGCAGTCCACTCACGGATGACCGTGCCCCCGTCGTTCTTCACGCTGAGGGCCAATTCTCCGCCCACTGTGACCGTGTATGGCTGTTCTGCGTCGTCAACCCGGATGGGGCATGCGAGGCCCATGTTGTTCTTCAGCAAGTACTTGACGCCAGAGCAGTAGTTGCGCGCAGCTCGAACCAATGGTGGACGATCGTTTGTAGCCCAAACTTCTTGTCCGTTCCTGTTGAGCTTTGCGCTTCGTAATTGGCCAATCACAACGCTTCTGTCGTCTATGCTCCCAAACTCCATGATTACCATATTGTTGAATTCTCCTTTGGCGTAGGTGTTGGTTGGCGCCGGCGCGCCTAGACGTAGTAGCTCTTGTTTGATCAAACTGCTTGCGGTCTCCAAGTTGTCGAAATTCTCGAGGTTGCCGACGACGGCGGTGATGCCCCTCTTGTCTATGACGTGTTTTGTGCCGCTGGTTGCAGGTGTTGTCAGACGCGTTGGATTAGCTCTATGTTTCTTCAACGATTCCATGTCCATCTCTGACTGCACTATTTTGGCATTAGTAGTAGAGTCCACTGTCATTGCGGATTTGCTGATGATGGCCGGGACGCTGTTTCCAAAATCGACACACGGTTGGTAATGTCGTCAATGGACTCTTTGAGAGGCTTCACTGTGGTGTTAAGGTCCTCTCGCGAGATCCCATGTGTCTTGATGGCCGTGATGTCGTTGCGGATCGGTTCCAACTGCTCGTTCAGGATGGCTTTGAGCGTCTCTGCAGTGAGGGCTGCTCCAGGAGCCACGTTGGTGTCCACGGTGTTGTTCTTACCTGCTTCATTCAGCCGCTGGTCGAACAGTGCCTGACGCGAGCTTGAACCTTCTTGGTCGACCTTCAGCGGCGAGCTGCCAGTGCGGGCCACTTTATCGGATGGTTTGAGCGCTGAGCGCAGCGATTCAGGAGAAGAGATCACATGTCTCTCCGGCATGCTGGTGAACGTAGTCGGAGTAAGTTTACGCAAAGGCGGGTAGTGCGGTATGCGGTGTGCCGTATGGGGGGGGGGGGGGCCTGACTCCGATCTTGAGAAGGGGCGGGCCTTCCCAGAAGGCTCGGAAGTCCCCCGGCCTTCTGAGAAGTTGTCTAAGCCTTCCCCGAAGACAAAGAAAAGTTCTCAGAAGGCGCAAGGGCTTCTGAGAAGTCCCGCCGCCTTCTGAGAAGGCCCTCTCCTTCTCACTTCCCCCCCTCGCTCGCCGCCGATGGCTGGATCCGTCTCGAGGCCCCTCTGCGCGCGGCCCATCGATGCCCTGTGCCAGGGAACGCTCAGGGCCAGCCCCTGGTGCCGGGGCTGGGGAGCGCTCGGACCGAAAGAGCTCGAGGCGAGGAGCCGGCTGCATGAAGGCGTGGCCCCATGCGGCGGAGGCCCGAGGGGAGGGCGGGAGGACCGAGGAGGAGGGGCTCCTTGAGGATGGTCTCTCTTTCGGTCCAGGAAGACGAGCATCGGGTTGGGAGGATGGGGCTGGGAAGATACGGGGCACGACCGTGTCATAGGCACGCTCGACATGCACGATGACACGGATGATCTGGTCATCCCGATGCTCCCAACCCGACAACTCTCTTTCTGATCGATGCCCTGCGCTACGGGACGCTCAGAGCCAGCCCCCGGGGCGGGTGCTGGGGCGCGCTCGGACCAACAGAGAGCTCTCGAGGGGCAAAGGAGCCCGCGGTGAGAGGGCGTGGCCGCATGCGGCGGAGGCCCGAGGGGAGGGCTGGAGGGCCGAGGAGGAGGGGCTCCTTGAGGATGGTCTGGATGCCCCGCGACCTTGGCCGACCCGATACGCGGCACGCAGCCCAGAGCGCGTGGACACGGAGCTCAGCACGCAGACTGACGGCGTGCGCCTGGCGCGATGCGTTCGCCGGAGCGTGGGCCAGCACGCTGAGCCAACACGCAGCGTGACCACACGGACGTTTTGAGGAGGAGGAGGAGGAGGAGGAGGAGGAGCGACGTCGGCGACGCCTCGGCGGCGTCGATGTGAAAAGCACGCCGGCCTCGACATCGGGCGGCAGCGGCGGTGCAGCGGCGGCGGGGCGCGTCTCAAAACGGCCGTATCAGGGCAGCTAAGCCCGCGACACCTCCGCGTACTTCATCACCACTGCCGGCGCGGGCGCCTCCTCCACCGCGGCGAGCGCCGCGGGCGGAGCGGCCGCGGCGGGGGGACCGCCGCCGCGCCCCCGGACCTGGCCTTTGCCCTTGACCTCGAAGAAGTCCTGCATCTGGGCGACGAAGTCGCCCAGCGTCATCGGGCGCTCGTCGCGGGACATCTCCTTCAGCTTCTGCGTCACGCTCTGGCCGTGCTTGATGCTGTAGCAGGACGCGAGCTGGTCGTGGGTCATGGTCTTGTCCCGCAGCAGCCCGCGGAGCTGGCCCGCCAACCGTTCCGCGGAGTCCTTGTCGCCCCAGTTCAGCATGCCTGTCAAGGCTCAAGAGCCTTCAGCTCCCTGCTGACAGCGACCTTTTCCACCTCGGCAACGCGCCAGAGTGGCCCTGGGGACAACAGAGACCTCTGGTGCGCGGCTGGCCGATTGCTGCATGCGATGCGACTGTAGCGGCCTGCGTGCCTGGGTGGCGCCCCCCTGCGCCCCCCAGCAAGCCGCGCACCAAAGGTCACCCTGGCAAAGGAGCACCCTCACGCGTGGCCCACCACCAGGTTGCCCAGGCGATGCCGGCGCCAGCTGCCCAGTAGCAAGATGCGCCGTCTCCCCTCTCCAGTGAGCGGCAAGGTTGCGGCGACCCGCCCTCACCTCGCGCTCAACACTGCTCCTCTTGGCGGCGCGCAAGAAAGGGGGCAAGGCGAGGATGCGCCTTCTCAGAAAGCCCTTGCAATCCGGGTGAGAAACTCAAGCTGGACGACGCAAGCACGTCAATGCGGTGCTGTCGGTGTCGGGCAGACGTTGCGTCCCCTGCGGGGCTCTTCTGAGCCAAACCCGCTCGCTACTGACGCTGCGCTGTGCCTGCAAAAGGGCACGGAAGCATGCCCCCCTCCACCAATTGTCTAATTGGAAAAGCGCAGGGCGCATTGACTTCAAGGAGACGGCCCCATCCTGAGAAGCCCCGTGCTTTCAAAGGAAGCCACCCCCCGCGCCCTGCCCCCGATCAAAGTCTGCTCAACAAACCTGTCCCGGACCCCTGCCTGCGTCCAGACGTGGACGCAACCACGAAGGACATCCAAGGAGGCCAAGAGAAGAACGAGCAACGTCGAAAACCAAGGGGCCGATTCTCAAAAGGCTGCCTGTCTCGCCCTGGCCCCTTTCGACCGCTGCCAGTCCTTTCAGCCGCGGCCACCAGACACAAGCTTTCGTCTCGTCCGCTCCAGCGCGCACACGTGCGCGAGCCGGAGCTCGCGCGAGGGCGCGCAGGAGCCCTGACACTAGCTGCTGTGTCTTGGGCCGGGAAAATGCGGAGAAGAACGCGGGGGAGGCGGGGGCGGCGGCTGGCGCTGAGTCCCTGGTCTGGCACCGCTGGGCGCGGCCCTCCTCCATTGACGCCCACCCGTGGAAATGGACGGAGAACGAAACAGCGGGGAGGGAGAGGGGCGGAGGATGGCGGATTGAGCCTTCGCAGACAGCATCACGACTCCCCAAGAAAGCCTGGCTACTTTGTACAAGCCCCAAGCCCCAAGAGGACTCCCAGGAGGCCCCAAACACCCCTCCAGGACCCCCACTGGGAGGGAACATCTTGAACATACGATACGTGATAAGATCCATGTATATAGGGTGTAATTATACAAATACACACAAGCACATATATATATACACACACACTAGGGCACGCGCTTCGCGCGCGCTTGGGCTCTAGCGCATGCCATGGCGTTTGTAGCTGTGCGTGCTTTTCGGACCGGTTCAATGCATGACTTGCCCCTTCGTCCTCCAATATTGCTCATACGTCCTTCATCGTTAATCCTCCAGTCTCGCTCGGTCGTCCTCGCTTTTCCTTTCTCGATCTTATCGACAGCCTCCCCTTGCTTGGGATTATGCGGGGCCTTCGAGCTGTTCAGGGCCGGCGTGGGGAGATATTCAATATGAAGTAGGCTGGATTGGGGTGTAGGGAGCTCCTGGGGATCTTCCTGTTCGGCCTGCCTTGAAGGCCTGGAAGCCCGATTGGGGCCCGATGTGGAGCCGTCTCGTCGAGTCTCGGGGACATGTGAAGCTCTCCCGAAGCCATCCTAAGGAGAAGAGCGCGAGATTTCCGGAATATAGAGAAATCTGAATAGCTTCTGCGTTTATGGCTCTCTGGGGTCATTTTGGGGTGCCTTTTGTGAGCTCCACTGGGGCATCTTGTGGCCACTGGGGGCCGCCTTGAAACATCCTGGAGCGTCTTGGGCCACCGAGGGGCCATCTTGGCGGCCAGCGGGCGTCCTCCTGAACCAGCTCGGAACCCTCTTCAGGCAGAAGGAGTCACCCAAAAACCCCAAGGCGGATCCCAGAGCCCAGGAGGGGCCAAATGGGTTGCGACGGGGGGAGTTTTGGAAAAATGAGCCACCCCAGGGCCAGAAACCCAGTCGTCGGTGCACAGAGCAAGGTGGAGTCATGTCACACTGTTTGGTGCATGAATGGACAAACTACACACGTGGCAGGGAGGTACGCAGCACTCGCAAAGACACAAACACTGTGAGAACGGATGGCGTATTCCCCATGCGAAAGGCGAGTACCGCGAGGAGGAGGAGGAGGAGGAGGAGGAGGAGGCGGAACGGGAGGAGGGATGTAAGAGTAAGGCGGGAAGAAGTGGAAGGAACGGGGGAGAAGGGGACAAAAGGCGCTGGACGTTCCAGCGAACCCCCTCGAACCACGGGGAGGGGCAAATCCTTCTCCACTTCCGTTTCCTCTCCTGTTCCTCCTGCTCCTCGTCATCCTTTCTTCGGGGGCTGACCGCGCGGTCCCGGGGGGGCCCAGGGGGTCTTGTCGCGTGACCTTTCCCGCCCCAAGAGGGCCCCAAGACGGTCTAAGAGGGCCCCGAATCGCCTCAAAAGATTGCCCGGACGGCCCCAAGAGAGCCCAAAATGGCCCCAAGATGCACTCAAGACGGCCCCAGATGCACCCAAGACGGCACAAGATGGATTCAAGATGATCCAAGATGGCCCAAGAGGCCCCCCAAAGGACTTCAAGGGATCGTTTAGGTAGGCCCGAAGAGGCCAAACTCACTCATTCTCCCTAGGTGGTTGAAGAGTTCGGACGTTTGCTTCTGTTCGGCCTTCCGACGGCCCGAGACGGCCCAAGAGGCCCCCGGGATCAACCCAAGATGGCCTCAAATGCCTCCATTCGCCCAGGATGGTCCAAGATGGCCTCCAAGACGGCGCGGGAGGGAGGGAGGCGAGTGGAGAGGATTGGGGACACACGGGGAGGAGCGCCGAGGAGTGCGATGGGCCAGAATACAATTCGGAGGGGCAGGAGGAGAGGGGAGGATTGTGCGGCAACGTCACGATTCGAGCCTCTGGAGGCCTCCTGGAAGCGCCTTCGCCACTCTCAGACGTTCCCAGATCCCTGCTCCCCCGCGGGCGCAAATCGCGGAGGGAACGCGCAGCAGCAACGCATAAGCTAGGAGATCCGAGAGGACGCGCGACGTTGCCGAACGGCTTACCACCTTGCAGGCGGGGCGTGGGCTCAGGCGGCCCGCGTCCGCCAGCGTGCGTTCGGCGCCCTGGGGGGCGTTCGAACGCCTGCCTATGGTCTGGCAGGGTCTGTGAGCACGCGTGCGCGTCCTGACGCGCGCAGGCAGTCGTGCCACGCACGCACAACTACGCGCAATGATGCCGGTGATGGTGATGATGACGGTCGGGTGATTGATGTGCCTCGGTTTGCCAGTCAAGCAGAAGGAGCGAACTGCCTCAGTCACCAACCTCACGCGGAAGCGAAAGCCAAAGCGCCAACTCGTACATGCAAAAGGGGTAGGCGGAATGGCGCAAGCCCCCAGAGCATAATCATTCGAAACTTGCCTCTGCGACCGAGAGAAAGCGCACACCTTGCTCATCCAGACTAGACACTTGAAGGAGCGAGGCACGGTGACCACATTCCTCCGCAGGCGTCGCTGCCTCCTGATGGTCGTCCTCTCCCAGCAATCCTCCGACATCGAATCCAGCACGCCCAAGGTGCTTGACGTAGAAGTTTAGGTAAGTGATGCCCTGCTGCGTGTGTCCATGGGCAACTTTGAGCTGCACCTTTCCAAACTTGAACCACTTCGGACCTTCATCGTGCACACCCTGAGCTTGAAACCGTAAACCGGCGGCATATTTCTCCTCCACCCACGACCCCGTCACGTTCAAGTCTTGGAAATACATGTCTGTGCATTGTCCACCCAACTGACGCGCCTCGGCCTCTACACGAAGCATGACGTTCTTATGCCTTCCGCGAGGGATGTTGATCAGAACATGGTTGCCCGGCTTCATCAAATCGAATCGCTGACCGAGAACATTTGCTAGGTGGGGATCGCCAGTGGCAGCCACGCCGCCAGCACCGCCCGTCATGGGAGCTCCAGAAAGATACGTCGGCTGTGGCGTCGGCCAACCTGGAGGATACGTCGGGCTAGGCGTCGGGCTGGGCGTCGGGAAAGCTGTCGGGAAAGGCGTCGGGTAGGGCGTGGGGAAGGCCGTCGGGAAAGGCGTCGGGTAGGGCGTGGGGTAGGGCGTCGGGTATGGCGTGGGGTAGGGCGTCGGGTAGGGCGTGGGGTACGGCGTCGGGGCGGGCGTCGGGTACGGCGTTGGGTAGGGCGTCGGGTAGGGCGTCGGGTACGGCGTCGGGGCGGGCGTCGGGTATGGCGTCGGGGCGGGCGTGTATTTGATCCACAGTTCGAGCGCTGCCCCATGATAGTAGGGTCCAGGACCTGTCCTAGGCTCGTATCCTGCCATGTCGCGCGTTATACCCATGCAATCCGCATTTGCGCTGCAGATAGACATGGCGCTGGCGATGGTGGCCTGGTGGCAACGATTTGACCAGGGACTGATACCAGGGCACCCTGACCAGCTTGGCCACGTGGAACCCAAATTACACGATAATGAAGTACCTTGGCATTTTCTGTACGAGTACCAGGTCCCCACAGACGAATTGTCACTGACACCCTCTCTGGACTTCGTCAGCTGCGTCACCGGTTTCTCGCCTCCTAGCACGAGTGCAGCGCCAGGGTGGATTCCGGCCAGAACAACGGTGAAGCAACATCCATGCATGCCCTTCATGCCGGAGAGAAGATCACGAGTATTGCAGTATACGAAGGAGTGTGAGCACAAATTCCTTCAAGGAAGCTGAACGAACCAAGTCTATGAGCCTAAATGGCTGAGGTACGAAGTGGGGTGTCCTCAAATTCCTTTACGTCTCCTGTATCGATGGAATTATATTTCAGGGGGCCGCAACCCCGCTTAGTTTGATCACGTGGAGGCTCAGTCCTCAATCCTGATGCTTATTCAAGAAGCCTGGACCCCGGATTGCCAATTCTTCGGGGGCTGACCACGTGGTCCCTGGGGACTCAAGCCGTCTTGTCGCGTGGCCCCAAGAGGGCCCCCAAGACGGTCTAAGAGGGCCCCGAATCGCCGCAAAAGATTGCCCGGACGGCCCCAAGAGAGCCCAAAATGACCCCCAAGATGCACTCAAGACGGCCCCAGATGCACCCAAGACGGCCCAAGATGGATTCAAGATGATCCAAGACGGCCCAAGAGGCCCCCCAAAGGACTCCAAGGGATCGTTTAGGAAGGCCCGAAGAGGCCAAACTCACTGATTCTCCCTAGGTGGTTGAAGAGTTCGGACGTTTGCTTCTGTTCGGCCTTCCGACGGCCCGAGACGGCCCAAGAGGCCCCCGGGATCACCCCAAGATGGCCTCAAATGCCTCCATTCGCCCAGGATGGTCCAAGATGGCCTCCAAGACGGCGCGGGAGGGAGGGAGGCGAGTGGAGAGGATTGGGGACACACGGGGAGGAGCGCCGAGGAGTGCGATGGGCCAGAATACAATTCGGAGGGGCAGGAGGAGAGGGGAGGATTGTGCGGCAACGTCACGATTCGAGCCTCTGGAGGCCTCCTGGAAGCGCCTTCGCCACTCTCAGACGTTCCCAGATCCCTGCTCCCCCGCGGACGCAAATCGCGGAGGGAACACGCAGCAGCAACGCATAAGCTAGGAGATCCGAAAGGACGCGCGACGTTGCCGAACGGCTTACCACCTTGCAGGCGGGGCGTGGGCTCAGGCGGCCCGCGTCCGCCAGCGTGCGTTCGGCGCCCTGGGGGGCGTTCGAACGCCTGCCCATGGTCTGGCAGGGTCTGTGAGCACGCGTGCGCGTCCTGACGCGCGCAGGCAATCGTGCCACGCACGCACAACTACGCGCAATGATGCCGGTGATGGTGATGATGACGGTCGGGTGATTGATGTGCCTCGGTTTGCCAGTCAAGCAGAAGGAGCGAACTGCCTCAGTCACCAACCTCACGCGGAAGCGAAAGCCAAAGCGCCAACTCGTACATACAAAAGGGGTAGGCGGAATGGCGCAAGCCCCCAGAGCATAATCATTCGAAACTTGCCTCTGCGACCGAGAGAAAGCGCACACCTTGCTCATCCGGACTAGACACTTGAAGGAGCGAGGCACGGTGACCACATTCCTCCGCAGGCGTCGCTGCCTCCTGATGGTCGTCCTCTCCCAGCAATCCTCCGACATCGAATCCAGCACGCCCAAGGTGCTTGACGTAGAAGTTTAGGTAAGTGATGCCCTGCTGCGTGTGTCCATGGGCAACTTTGAGCTGCACCTTTCCAAACTTGAACCACTTCGGACCTTCATCGTGCACACCCTGAGCTTGAAACCGTAAACCGGCGGCATATTTCTCCTCCACCCACGACCCCGTCACGTTCAAGTCTTGGAAATACATGTCTGTGCATTGTCCACCCAACTGACGCGCCTCGGCCTCTACACGAAGCATGACGTTCTTATGCCTTCCGCGAGGGATGTTGATCAGAACATGGTTGCCCCGCTTCATCAAATCGAATCGCTGACCGAGAACATTTGCTAGGTGGGGATCGCCAGTGGCAGCCACGCCGCCAGCACCGCCCGTCATGGGAGCTCCAGAAGGATACGTCGGCTGTGGCGTCGGCCAACCTGGAGGATACGTCGGGCTAGGCGTCGGGCTGGGCGTCGGGAAAGCTGTCGGGAAGGCGTCGGGTAGGGCGTGGGGAAGGCCGTCGGGAAAGGCGTCGGGTAGGGCGTGGGGTAGGGCGTCGGGTATGGCGTGGGGTAGGGCGTCGGGTAGGGCGTGGGGTACGGCGTCGGGGCGGGCGTCGGGTACGGCGTCGGGTAGGGCGTCGGGTAGGGCGTCGGGTACGGCGTCGGGGCGGGCGTCGGGTATGGCGTCGGGGCGGGCGTGTATTTGATCCACAGTTCGAGCGCTGCCCCATGATAGTAGGGTCCAGGACCTGTCCTAGGCTCGTATCCTGCCATGTCGCGCGTTATACCCATGCAATCCGCATTTGCGCTGCAGATAGACATGGCGCTGGCGATGGTGGCCTGGTGGCAACGATTTGACCAGGGACTGATACCAGGGCACCCTGACCAGCTTGGCCACGTGGAACCCAAATTACACGATAATGAAGTACCTTGGCATTTTCTGTACGAGTACCAGGTCCCCACAGACGAATTGTCACTGACACCCTCTCTGGACTTCGTCAGCTGCGTCACCGGTTTCTCGCCTCCTAGCACGAGTGCAGCGCCAGGGTGGATTCCGGCCAGAACAACGGTGAAGCAACATCCATGCATGCCCTTCATGCCGGAGAGAAGATCACGAGTATTGCAGTATACGAAGGAGTGTGAGCACAAATTCCTTCAAGGAAGCTGAACGAACCAAGTCTATGAGCCTAAATGGCTGAGGTACGAAGTGGGGTGTCCTCAAATTCCTTTACGTCTCCTGTATCGATGGAATTATATTTCAGGGGGCCGCAACCCCGCTTAGTTTGATCACGTGGAGCCTCAGTCCTCAATCCTGATGCTTATTCAAGAAGCCTGAACCCCGGATTGCCAATTCTTCGGGGGCTGACCCCGTGGTCCCTGGGGGCTCAAGCCGTCTTGTCGCGTGGCCCCAAGAGGGCCCCCAAGACGGTCTAAGAGGGCCCCGAATCGCCGCAAAAGCCGGACGGCCCCAAGAGAGCCCAAAATGGCCCCCAAGATGCACTCAAGACGGCCCCAGATGCACCCAAGACGGCCCAAGATGGATTCAAGATGATCCAAGACGGCCCAAGAGGCCCCCCAAAGGACTCCAAGGGATCGTTTAGGAAGGCCCGAAGAGGCCAAACTCACTGATTCTCCCTAGGTGGTTGAAGAGTTTGGACGTTTGCTTCTGTTCGGCCTTCCGACGGCCCGAGACGGCCCAAGAGGCCCCCGGGATCACCCCAAGATGGCCTCAAATGCCTCCATTCGCCCAGGATGGTCCAAGATGGCCTCCAAGACGGCGCGGGAGGGAGGGAGGCAAATGGAGAGGATTGGGGACACACGGGGAGGAGCGCCGAGGAGTGCGATGGGCCAGAATACAATTCGGAGGGGCAGGAGGAGAGGGGAGGATTGTGCGGCAACGTCACGATTCGAGCCTCTGGAGGCCTCCTGGAAGCGCCTTCGCCATTCTCAGACGTTCCCAGATCCCTGCTCCCCCGCGGGCGCAAATCGAGGAGGGAACACGCAGCAGCAACGCATAAGCTAGGAGATCCGAGAGGACGCGCGACGTTGCCGAACGGCTTACCACCTTGCAGGCGGGGCGTGGGCTCAGGCGGCCCGCGTCCGCCATCGTGCGTTCGGCGCCCTGGGGGGCGTTCGAACGCCTGCCCATTGTCTGGCAGGGTCTGTGAGCACGCGTGCGCGTCCTGACGCGCGCAGGCAGTCGTGCCACGCACGCACAACTACGCGCAATGATGCCGGTGATGGTGATGATGACGGTCGGGTGATTGATGTGCCTCGGTTTGCCAGTCAAGCAGAAGGAGCGAACTGCCTCAGTCACCAACCTCACGCGGAAGCGAAAGCCAAAGCGCCAACTCGTACATACAAAAGGGGTAGGCGGAATGGCACAAGCCCCCAGAACATAATCATTCGAAACTTGCCTCTGCGACCGAGAGAAAGCGCACACCTTGCTCATCCGGACTAGACACTTGAAGGAGCGAGGCACGGTGACCACATTCCTCCGCAGGCGACGCTGCCTCCTGATGGTCGTCCTCTCCCAGCAATCCTCCGACATCGAATCCAGCATGCCCAAGGTGCTTGACGTAGAAGTTTAGGTAAGTGATGCCCTGCTGCGTGTGTCCATGGGCAACTTTGAGCTGCACCTTTCCAAACTTGAACCACTTCGGACCTTCATCGTGCACACCCTGAGCTTGAAACCGTAAACCGGCGGCATATTTCTCCTCCACCCACGACCCCGTCACGTTCAAGTCTTGGAAATACATGTCTGTGCATTGTCCACCCAACTGACGCGCCTCGGCCTCTACACGAAGCATGACGTTCTTATGCCTTCCGCGAGGGATGTTGATCAGAACATGGTTGCCCGGCTTCATCAAATCGAATCGCTGACCGAGAACATTTGCTAGGTGGGGATCGCCAGTGGCAGCCACGCCGCCAGCACCGCCCGTCATGGGAGCTCCAGAAGGATACGTCGGCTGTGGCGTCGGCCAACCTGGAGGATACGTCGGGCTAGGCGTCGGGCTGGGCGTCGGGAAAGCTGTCGGGAAAGGCGTCGGGTAGGGCGTGGGGAAGGCCGTCGGGAAAGGCGTCGGGTAGGGCGTGGGGTAGGGCGTCGGGTATGGCGTGGGGTAGGGCGTCGGGTAGGGCGTGGGGTACGGCGTCGGGGCGGGCGTCGGGTACGGCGTCGGGTAGGGCGTCGGGTAGGGCGTCGGGTACGGCGTCGGGGCGGGCGTCGGGTATGGCGTCGGGGCGGGCGTGTACTTGATCCACAGTTCGAGTGCTGCCCCATGGTAGTATGGTCCAGGACCTGTCCTAGGCTCGTATCCTGCCATGTCGCGCGTTATACCCATGCAATCCGCATTTGCGCTGCAGATAGACATGGCGCTGGCGATGGTGGCCTGGTGGCAACGATTTGACCAGGGACTGATACCAGGGCACCCTGACCAGCTTGGCCACGTGGAACCCAAATTACACGATAATGAAGTACCTTGGCATTTTCTGTACGAGTACCAGGTCCCCACAGACGAATTGTCACTGACACCCTCTCTGGACTTCGTCAGCTGCGTCACCGGTTTCTCGCCTCCTAGCACGAGTGCAGCGCCAGGGTGGATTCCGACCAGAACAACGGTGAAGCAACATCCATACATACCTTTCATGCCGAAGAGAAGATCACGAGTATTGCAGTATACGAAGGAGTGTGAGCACAAATTCCTTCAAGGAAGCTGAACGAACCAAGTCTATATGAGCCTAAATGGCTGAGGTACGAAGTGGGGTGTCCTCAAATTCATGTCTCCTGCATCGATGGAATTATCTTTCAGGGGCCTGCAACTCCGCCTAGTTTGATCACGTGGAGCCTCAGTCCTGAGTCCTGGTGATCATTTAAAAAGCCCGGGCCCCGGATTGCCAATTCTTCGGGGGCTGACCACGTGGTCCCTGGGGGCTCAGGCCGTCTTGTCGCGTGACTTTTTCGGCCCCAAGAGGGCCCCCAAGACGGTCTAAGAGGGCCCCGAATCGCCGCAAAAGATTGCCCAGCGGCCCCAAGAGAGCCCAAGATGGTCCCAAGATGCACTCAAGACGGCCCCAGATGCACCCAAGACGGCCAAGATGGATTCAAGATGATCCAAGACGGCCCAAGAGGCCCCCCAAAGCACTCCAAGGGATCGTTTAGGAAGGCCCGAAGAGGCCAAACTCACTGATTCTCCCTAGGTGGTTGAAGAGTTCGGACGTTTGCTTCTGTTCGGCCTTCCGACGGCCCGAGACGGCCCAGGAGGCCTCCAAGATCACCCCAAGGTGGCCCCAACTGCCTCCATTCGCTCAAGATGGTCCAAGAGTGCCTCCAAGACGGCCCGAGAGGGTCCAAGAAACATCCAAAACGGCCCAAAACGGCCCAATAAGCCCCAAAGAAGCTCCAAGACGGCCCAAGAGACCAAAAAGAGGTCCCGAGGAGGGGCCGAAGAGGCCAAACTCATTGGTTGTCCTCAGGTGGTTAAAGATGTTGGCATTTGCTCCTTTTCTGCCTTCCGACGGCCCAAGACGGTCCAAGAGGCTTCAAAATCGCGCCAAGGTGGCTCTGAAAGCCTCAGCGATGGCCCCATGACGGCCCAAGAAGCCTCCAAGACAGCCCCAAGCCACTGAAGAACATGAGACCATACGTGTTTCAAGTTCTGGCCCCAGAGGGGGGAACACAAACTGGCCCCAGGAGCCCTCTAGTGCCAGGATGACCCCCCAGACAGCCAAGAGGCCCCCAGGAGGCCACCAGAGGCGCCCTACAGGCCCAAGAAGACCTCCGAGAGGCCACAAAGAGACCCCGAAGAGGTCACAGAAAGGACCCCGAGAGGCACCCACGAGGCCCCAAGAGGACTCCAAGAAGTCCCGGTGGCACGGTGGTGTGAAAGGCCCAATGCAACTAGATATCCGCCGCCACTGCGGCTTGCCACGAGGGTGCACGACACGCTGGACTTTGAACAGACTCTGCGGCCGATCCCGCCAGCCACCCTGAAGAACTGATTAATTTCCCAATTCATCTGTCCTCCCGCTCCAGACGGCCTCAAAATTGCCTCCAAGGCGCCCCAGGAGGAACCTTAAGCTTCCCAGGTCTTCGGTCTTCCTGCTCCAAGACGGCCAAGATGGCTGGAGATGGCTTCCAAGATGCCTCCGGGACTTCTAAGATGGTCAAAAAAACAAATGGCCGCAAGATGTCTTCAAGACAGGCCCAACATGCACCAAAGATGGCCCCAAGATAACCCAAGACGGCCTGAGAGGCCCCCAAGAGGCCTCCGAGAGAGCCTCCAGGAAAACCTGGAGAGCTCTCTCCAGATCTTTTTCTTTTTCCCCCACGTGTTCCCCGGAGCGTCTCCACAACGGCTGGGAGAATACATGATCCGATAGTTTGGCCGAGCTCTGACCACAACGTTCGGCCACATAGGTGCCTTCAAAGGCAGGGGGCGGCGGTGATTCGATGTAAGCGTCTTCGATGCACAGAAGACGTCAAGACGTGCTTCCCCTTCGGTTCAAGATGAACCTCTACACCTTGGGAGGTTTGAAGACATTGGCGTGGTGCCCATGTGAAGCTGGCAGCTGCACGAAGCAGCGAGCCCACGAGAACGCCCCCGGGGGAGGTGGGTGCAGTTCACTCCGAGGTGGGGAGCGAGCTGGAAAATGCGCAGCAGCACGGAGCTCGGGCGAAGCTAAGAAACTGTGGAAATGGACGTGCGAGGCATGGAGCGAACACTGCGCTCCTCCTCCTCCTCCTCCTCCTCCTCCTCCTCCTCCTCCTCCTTTGGGGGAGCAGCGTAAAGATGCTCTGCCACGTCTTGAGCTGTGCAAGGGCGTGCGGAAGTGCAGTGGGGGAAGACCAGGGGCGGCTTGCGGCCGTGCGGCTGGCGCGGGACATAGTGGCTTCATGACTGAGCCTACCACGTAGCGACCCTCACAGGGGGTAGGTGCCAATGTCATCATGTGCGAGCGCTGTCTCTCTCTCTCTCTCTCTCTTTCTCTCTCGTTATTTGTCACAAGCAATGTTGGAAATCATTGCCCTTGCACCTTGTGCGTTTGTGTCTTGCTCGGCGCGAGGGGGTGAAGGCACAACAAAGGCTGTCCAGGTTCGGACACCGGCGGGGCCCGACTTTCCAAAAAAGGCCCAGCGGTCCCGTTTTGGGGAAGGAAGGACTCGTGACCCATGGGGCCTGCCCGACCCCTCCATCCTCCTGGTCGACGCTCACCAGGAGCATTGCCTACGAGGTGTGCTGGTGCGTGCCAACATATACGTGCTGATGCTGCTGCTGCTGCTGCTCCCAGGCGAACTGTGGTGCTCACAAGGCACGTCGCAGCGCTGTGCTCACAGGCAGGTTGTGATGCTCGAGAGCTGTTGTGATCCTGGCACGGCCCGACATACTGCGGTGCAGAACGATCTGCAGCTCTCCACAAACCCACTGTGGTGCACGTAGGAACGAAATGGTGCGGTGTATTCGTGGGCGACTGTATCGCGCGCATGTTGTGGCGATCGAAAGGCTACGTTAGTACTGGCAAGGTCTGGCATGCTGGTGAGCATAAGTGTGCACCTGTTGTTCGCAGGCCCAGTCGAGCTCGCAGGAACAGTGTGGCGCCCGCAGGCTACCGTGGTGTTCACAGGCAAGGTGCGGTGTTCGCAGACTACTGTAGCACTGGCAGGATCCGAGATTCTGTCTTGTATGCATGTGTTCTTGTTGCTCCTGGGCGGATTGGCCCACACCACTGCCGCAGCCGCGACCGCGTCTGGAAAAGGAAAACCACCGCGAAAAAATCGCAATGGTTTCGCTCTCGCAGCCGCGGCCGCGGCCGATGCTGGAAGAGAAGAGAAAACACTAAAACATTTGCGAACGTTCTCCCTCTCCCAGCCGCGGCCGCGGCAGCGACCGCAGCGGAAGCTGCAGCCGCGGGCAGCTGCGGCCGCGGCTCGAAGGAGAAAACCACAGCGAACAAACCGAGATAGTTTCCCCCTCCCAGCCGCGGCAGCAGCGGCAGCCGTAGGCAGCCGCGGCCGCGGGCGCGGCTGGAAAGAGAAAGCCACCTCCGAGCCGCGGCCAGGAGAACACCTCCGCGAAAAACTCGCGATAGTTTCCCCGTCCGAGCCGCGGCCGCAGCCGCGATTGCACCAACACAGCCCGTCGTTGTGTTGTTTCACGCTGTGCAAGCTGCTGAGTAGATCGCAGACTGGCTTGTTTGCCTCGCACCCAGCAGGCTGGTGGCTCTCTTGCCTCTCTTGTTGGCATCCCCCCACGTCCTTCCTCGCTGCCTACTGTGGCTTCGTCGATGACCCTGACTTGCACGAGCGCCAGCCAGGTCATCACCACTATGTAGCTATACAGCAGCTATACACCGCAATGCTAGGCAATGCAGAGCAATGCAATGCAGCGCGACGGGATGTAACGCAATATGGCGATCAAAGAAAAGGGGAAGCTGTAGAAAGCAGCGCAGAGCAATGAACAAATATCACATTGCAACACAAAACAATGCAACACAGCCTAGGAATCCAGAAGAATCCGTCAAGAGCCCGTAGAACACGAGAACCTCACGGAGCTCCCGAGGACCCAGCGGAAACGACCCCAGTCTGTCACCCCTTCTGCTTCACAATGCCAAGCCACACATATCAATGTAAACAAACACAAAACGACGCCAAAGAAGCAATGCCGGGCAGTACGTAGCAAAGACAATCAAAGCACACTCAGCAAGACGACGAAAAGCAAAGCAATGCAGAGCTCTCTACTCTGCTACGCCCAAACCGTTGGAATGCAATGCTTTACAGCGCTGCTGTGCCATGTTATGCTATGCCGTACTACTCAACGCAACGCCATGACAAATTGTGTTCTGCACGTCTGAGCAAGCAAAGCAAAGTGAGGACTCCCGGAGACTTGGCGGGAAAGGCGACGATCGCCCTGAGGAACCCCAAAGACCACCAACGAACCGCAGGGGACCCAGCTTGAGGTGCGGCTATCACCAACCGCTCTCTTGCACAAAATGAGGTAAACCCCAATGTAAAGCTTAGTGAAAGGGCAAACTAAAAGGCAACCGAATTGTTTGGTCTGCATATTGCGTGTCATATCCGTTGGAACGCTATCTCTGATAAACTCGCCAGCTCGAGCCCCGAAATTATAGATGCTACACTTCATATTTGCAACACTGCAACGCCGGCTTGCACACGTAGCTACAGACCGCGCAGAACGAGGAGGAGGGGAGGGACACGAAGAGATGAAGAGAGCAGGGGAGGAGAGGGAGAACTCTGGACTCTATGTGCGGCAATGTAGGCTTATGGTGCGAGTTCTGCTCTGCCCTTTCCCTCCCTGGAACGCTAGCCCGAACAGAGAAAAATAGCACAGTCGGGCAAGAGCCAATCAACTGACAGACGTGGTGGGCAAGGCGACGGCTGTGCGTGTTGGTGTTGACAGGGTGCAAGGTAACGACGGTGGCAACAGGAGGGCAGCTGCAGAAAGAGGAGAAGATACAAGCGTGTCCCACTAGACTATACCGAATCAGAAGCTGGGGCGCTGCATGTGCAAGCGGGGTACCCCAAGTGGGTCATCGTCCTCAAAGTCCTTCAGGCGAATCACGCAAAATGATGAGCACGTTGCCCGAAATCGAAATCCTGACTGTGATTCCAAAGCACGCTGAGCGGCCATGGAGGGTCAGCGCTGAGATGGCGCACTTGCTGGTGACGTCGTTCGACGCCCGCTGCTTTGCGCTGCGCTCCTGCGCAGAGGTCGCAACAATGAGAAACTCTATGCCACGCCATTGGGCGTCGCTGAATGGTGGGCGCTAAACGGGGGGGGAGAAAGGTGGACTTTTCGGGCCCTCAAGGCCCCCTTTTGGGCCCTAAAGGGCCCATTTAGGGGCCTTGAAAGGGCCTCTTTTCTGCAGCCGTCACTGCCCCCCCCCCTGTTCATCGCCCCCCCAGTGCGCGACGCCGAACGCCATAACGAACAATGCATGCCGGCGTGATGAGGTTGACACACATTTGCTCAGATGTCGTGCGATAATCGGCTGCACGCAAGAGTGACCCTAGGCAAGAATGGCCGTTGGTGCGAGGCTTAACGGGGGACGCGGGCTGGCCAAGCGGGGCGCGCAAGCCGCCGCTACCGCCTCGCGCTCAGCGATCGGGGGGCCCCATTGGGCCCGCACCAAAGGTCACTCTGACGAGAGGTCACTTTTACGTCTAGTCGAGATATCGCTAACATTCGTCCAGGTATCGAGCGGAACTGTCGGCAGCACGTTCTGTTCTTTTGTCGCAGCGCTGGCGGACGCTCCGCGCGGTCGGAGCGGCAGACCGAGCAACGGATTCGCACATCGGGTATCGAGCGGCGATATCGGCAGCACACCTGATAGCGAAAAAAGCATAACGCTGCCAACCAGGTCCGCACACGGCGACTCGGATGAAGGCAGCTGCTTGCTTCAACCGGGGCTCTCGACTGAGACTTCCTCAGAGCTGGCGTCCATGCGTGTAGACACTGCGCAACAACCAGGAAGGCGGCTCCAATCTCTCGCTGCAGACCTCCTCATTCTGAGCGTCCACAATCGCACGTAAAAGCCTACAACAACTACACGGATGGAGCGCGGCTCCTTTTCAAAATTTGGCAATCGCTGGAGATTCCCTTGGAACTTTCTAGTTATCCCACTCGCCCTTTTGTGGTTTAGCGGGCTTCCTCTTGCACTCCCCCTTCTTCTCCTTCCGGGAAGGTCCACAGCCCCCTATTAATATACACCCCCTCCCCCAGGCGACCAACAGCCAACCGAGAACCACGAGGGCCACCCCCCCACCATCCCTGTCAACAAAACTATACAAAACGCACTCTGACTCCACATTTGGAGCATGCGCGGCCAACTCGATGCGGGCCGCCCCCCACCATCCCTGTTTTAAAAATACTACAAAGTACACTTTGGGGCAAAGTCGGGAGACATGTTCGTGAGGCCCGCGAGCACCTTGTATTGTTTGTTGACGGGGACGGCGGGGGTGTCAGCATATTGCGTGCTACGCGCAGGGCTACCATCCTTGACAGAGAAACAAAACAAAATGCACACCGCGGCTACATCTGGATCATTTGCGGCCGCCCCGCGATCCCTGTCAAGTGGTGGCGTTTGGTCTGCTGTGCGCAGGCCGACCAGACAAAATGATGGGCAATGGTTTTCGACATGGATGGTGGGGACCGACATGTTTCCCGATGTGTGCTGTCACATGCACCGGCGCACCTGACACACTCTGCACGTGCCCCGAACGTGGCGCACCTGGCGCGGCTGGAGTATGCGGCAAACCTGGCGCACGGGGACGCACCTGGCGCATCTGGCGCACCAGGTGTGCCTGGCACGCTCGGGACCTAGGGGTGCCTGGCGCGCGTGGCGCGACTGGCACGCGTGGCGCACCTCGCCCCAGCGTCGCGCACATGGGCTCGGTTTTGGTCCCAAGTAGCTGCCCATCCCAAGACGACCACTGAACATGCTGAGGGTAGCTTTACCCCTCACCCTACCCCCTCCCCTGGGACTGGAGGAGAGAGGGTGGTTGGCCCAAAATGGCTCCAGGAGGGCCTCAGGGAGCCGAGGATGACCTCCAAGATGGCCAAAGGTGGCTCCAGAGAGCTCAAGATGGCTTCCAACATGCCCCAACAGGTCCCATGACCGCCCCAAGACGGCCCCAAATGGCCACGGGGCCTCCCAAGGAAGCCACCAAGAGGCAAGAATCCGCCCAAAACGATTAGAAAATCAGTGTGGTTTGCCGTCTCGCCCCTACGCTTTCGATAGCCTTCCGAGGCATCAAAACGGCCCCAAGAAGGCCCAACAGAGCCCCAAGAGGAGCCCAACAGGGCTCCAAGACGGCCCCCAGAGCGCCCAAGAGCGCCCCAGGAGCGCCCGAAGAGGGGTCCAGGAGGCGCGATCCGAGGGGCTCCAGAGGAGCAAGGCTACCCTGTACCCCCCCTCGTTGATCGACGTCCTCCAAGATGGCCCCAGGACGGCCCCCGAGTCTCCCAAGAGTCCACCAGGAGGGCCCACGAGGCGCGGGCCCCAAGAAATCCCCAGGAGGCCTCGACCGCCGAGAGGTCCCCAAGACGCACCAAGAGGACCCCAAGAAGCTCTCGAGAGACATCCGCAGTCTTCGGGAGGCATCCAAGAGGCCTCTGGCCTTTCTGCTCGCCAACCTCATCCTCTTCCTCATCCTCCTATTCTTCATCCTCCCTTCTCCCTCCTTTCCCTCCCCGTCCCCCTTCCCCCCCTCCTCATCCTCCTCCTCCTTCTGTTAATCCTCCTCCTCCTCATCCTCATCCTCCTCCTCCTTCTGTTAATCCTCCATCCTCCCCCTCTTGGGGTATGACGGTTTCCCCAGCCCTGTATTCAACTGCATGCTCCTCCACATCCCTGATCAGGGCAACTCACCTTGGCATCGTTTCTGGTTTCTGGATAGGCTGATGGGGTTGCTCGAAGCGTCTAGAATACCTTTTAGCACGTCTTGCAGGCTAGAAGGATGGCTGGCACTTTATTTTCAAAACGGAGCTCTCGCCTGAATGGCAGGCAAAACCATGGGGCGCTCGCCTTTCAATGGGGCACTTCCCGAAATGACGAAGTGAAGCTTGTAGGGATTTATGGAAATGTGACTTAGGACAGGCGTGTGTATTGCCGCACTCTTGAAGCATTCTGGGTTCACTGTGGTCATCCTCCTCCTCCTCCTCCGCCCCCTCTTCATTTCCCCCACCCTCCTCCTGTCCCCCTCCCAGCCTTCCTCTGCTCCTCCTCTCTTCCTCCTCCCCCTGGACCCCCCTCTCCTCCGACTCGGCCCCCCCGCCAGCAGCAGGTCCGTGCCGTGACGGCGTTGTCTCTGGATCCTGCCCCCGCGTAGACCCCTCGATCCTGAACAATGTTCCCGCTGGGAGTTCGCAGAGGCCAAAGTGGGTGCTCCATGGGAAGACCTGAAGGTACCGATACCGCTACTCCCCGGACCTCCCCCGGGGTGCATTCTGACCAGAATTTCGAGGCGAACCCAGCGGTGGCGACGAGGTCCTCCCAGGAGGCCCGAAAGGGCGAAGACGAGGGAAGGGTAGGGGCATTAGTATCTTTCCCTCCTCTGAGCTCGATGATGAGCGCCCACGCTCGCGCTGCCAGTGCCGAGAATACACGACCTGCAATGTGAACGCTGCCACGATACCCCGTGGCACCGGCGCGTCCTGCCGCCAGCGCAGCGCGTCCCAGCCCTTCAGCTTCTCGACCTGCACCACCGCGACCTCGTCGCCTCGCAGACTCCACGGTCGCGCGGTCTGCCGCCGTGGCCGCCGCAGCTGCCGCCGCCGCTGGCCCCAGCATCGAAGCGATGAGTCGAGCCGGATCGACAAGGGCGCGTAATTTCGCGCCTCGCGCTGCGCACTGCGCGAATAACCTCGCGCTCGCGAGCCCCCCCCAGTGGATAAGAGGAGGATGAGGAGGAATCGGAGCCGAACCGCGAAGCGCGAAGCGCGAATAACGCGCCCTCGACGGCGCCCTTGGATCGACCCGAACATCGAATTGGCCGCGACCAGCGTGTGTCATGTGCTCAGGGGCTTGCCAAGGTTGTCCGTCCACGCAGGTGTGCGCCCCTCAGCGCTGCCTGTGCCGGGTGGGGGCTCCAAGTTCCCCTTGCAGCCACGGCAGAGACTTGATAGCTCTGCCTGGCAGTCACCATCCACCATGCAATCAATGTTACTCATGTTGCGAAACGGCAATTTCTTTCGACCCCATGCGCGCAGAGAGACTACGCGATGAATCGATGGACGAAATAATCTGTGATGCTTCACAAGCTGGCTTGAGTTGGTGGACAAATCACCGATCTGCGCGAAACCCATGACATAACAAGTTAGACCCGTAATCGACCTGTACGCTACAGCATGGCCGGTGGCTACGGGAAGCGCAGCTTGCCTCGCGACCCTACTCAAACTGTGGCACGCCAGTGTGCTTCGTCTTTGCGTGGCACGGGAACGCCGGGCCGATCCATACCTATCGAGTGAACCAGCGGGGAGTCGCGCGGCAACGCTAAACGGAGCAGCATGCGGCACGGGCCACAGGACTCCTTCTGGTTCCTGGCTCTTGGTTGCAGGTGGCTGCATGGCTGTACCGACGAAGCCTCCCCCCTCCCCAGGGCCGGTCGGCCCTGAGGGGGTGATCAAACTAGGGCCGGGTGATCCCTGGAGCACCTCTCCAAGGACCACCGGCGGTGTGGTAGGAGTTAGAAGGGACGACAGACAGGCGAGGGGAGGAGGAGGATGAGGGAAGAGGGGAGGGGAGACGGACAGACGAGGGGAGGGGAGGAGGAGGACTCCTCCTCTTCCTCCTTGCCCTCCTCGCGGCCCCCGAGCTGTGCTGCTGGAGGGGGCGCCCGCCTAGGCCGAAGGGGCTCAGCTTCGCCCCGTGGGACGCCTGCCGCGCATGGGCCCGGAAGGAGCGAGGGCAGAGCGAGCAGAAGGCTCTATCCCCCCACCGACGGGTCTCCCCCGGCGCAATGGGGGTGGCTCGAGCCACCCCCCCCACTCGCCGCCAGCAGACGACGACGACGACGACGACGACGACGACGACGACGACGACGACGACGACGACGACGACGACGACGACACTGGGTCAGGCGGGCGGGTCGGGCGGAGCATGAAAGCGGGCAGATCGGACGGGCGGTCGGGACGGGCGGGCGGGGCGGGGCGGGCGGGGCGCCGTCGACGTCGACGTCGCCTGCCGGGGCGAAGTAGTAGAGAGTCGATTCCCTCCACCTCCTCTGCCCTCCTCCCCCTCCTCCTCCCCCTCCTCCTGCGGTTTTCCTGCGGTTTTCCAGAGGCCTACGCCGTTTGAGCACGCCACTACGCCAACCCGGGGAGGGGGGGGGACGATGGAAGCGGCAGCAGCGGCGGCAGCAGGAGCGCAAGGAGGATGGGAGGAAGAGGGGACTGCCTGCCGCCGCTGGACAGGTGCGGCAAGATGGCACCTGCATTTCAAGAGATTTTAGGGGGCCAGGGGCAACACGGGGCCCAGGCCGGGCCAAGGCGGGCCGAGGCGGGGCCGGGGGCACCCAGGAGCCAGGCCGACCCTAGGCAGCGCAACGGACGGGGCCCGGCCCTACGCTAAGCGTAACTGTTGTGGGGCCGGCTCAGGCCGCCCACCAGCCGCGGGGCCGCGGTCTTGCTCCCTGGTCCGGGCGCCTTCCGCCTCCGACGGTCTCGCCCTGGGGCTCTCCGTCGCGAGGCAGCTCTCTTCTCGGGGTACTGCGAGGCCTCCGCGCACCGCCAGGCGGGGGCGCTCGCCTCGGCTGGGCTGCAGGCGGCCGCCAGGCGCCGGGCGCCATGCCCCAGCCACGGCCGCGGCAGCAGCCAACCCCTCGGGCCGCTGTGCTGCGGCGGCTGTCCGGTGCAGCACACGCCGCTGCGCCGAGGAGTGACGCTGGCTCAAGTCCTGCAGCGCCTCCGCCTTGGCATCCAGCAGGTCCATGAGCATCTCAACGGCCCTGTCGAGGTCGCCCTGGTCCTCTGACTGGGCGGCGAACTCGGGCATGCCCAGCGCGTTCCAGTTGACGAAGTGGATGTGGGTCCCCTTGGGGACAGCCTGGCGGATGAAGGTGATGTACTCGTCGTCGTCGCCGAGCAATAGGCTCCTGACCTCCTGCAGCGGCACGGCGCGGTGGACGTCCACCGGGATGCTCTGGGAGAGGAGCTCTTCCCCCGCTCGGGCTTCGCTCACGTCCGAGATCGCACCGACCGAGCCTGCGTCATCATCATCCCCGGTAGCGGAGGAGTCATGCAGCAGCCATCGCAGGTGGTGGTCGTCGCCATCCTCCTCTCTCTGCTCGGGGGCGCCCTGCCCGCTGTCCTCGAACTCTCGTTCCTCCATGTCGGCGGCCCCGTTCTCTTCCAGCCCGCGGGGGCTGGCCCTGTCCGAGGCGAGCTGGACCAGGAAGGCCCCATCCGGAGCCTGGGCCACCAGGAGCGGGGGCTGCTGCCGCAGGAAGGCCACGGTGTCGAAGTAGCCCACGGCCTCGACATCGAGGTTGAAGAGGAAGCGGGCCCGAAAGGCTTGCTGGATACTGGCCACCGGGACTGGCCCGCCAACGCTGTCCTCCAGGAGCTGCACCACCTTGTGGGCGAGCATGTGCGCGATGCGGCCCTGGTCTTCGGGGGGCAGCTGGCGGCCGCCAGGGCCCGGCGGGGCGGCCACGGCGGCCAGCTCGGAGCCCTCGCAGCTGGCGCTGGCGGACTCGTCCGCTTCCTCCTCTGGGATGCTGGCTAGCAAACCCGCGCCGTGGAGGTGGGCCCGGCCTTCGTCGCCGCTGCACGGCTGCGCCTCGGCCTCACCGTCGCCGGCTGCAGCTGCCGCGTCCAGCTGTGGAGGCGAGGGGGTCTGCCTGGCCTGAGTCGCCGCCTCGGCTTCGGCTTCGGCTTCGCGGACTCTGGCTGCTGCCTGCTGCCAGCCTCGGCTTCGGAGACCTCTGGCTGCAGCCAGCGCGGGTCCACGGGCAGGGTTGGTGAGAGGCCTTCCGACCCCCCGCCCGTGGAGTCCTGGCCAGGGGCGGCCTGCGCGGGCGCGGCCACCGGGCCCCACTGGGCCTGCACCAGCTGCCAATCGATGGGGCGTTGCCCCAGCAGTTGCGGGTCCTGGCAGTTGCGGGTCCTGGCGGCGGCCTCCTGCAGCTGCTCCTCGTGGTGCGCGAGGCGGCTGTCCGCGGCGCTCCCAGCGCAGTCGGCCGCACACCTGGAGCCGGCAGCGGCGCGGCGGCGGGCCTGGCTGGCGGCCAGCGCGCTCGCCGCGGCCTCGCCCACGCGGCTCGGCGTCGGGTAGGCCACGGCGGGGACGGCCCGCTCGGCTGGCACGAACGTGGCCGCCTCTGCGCGCAGGCACGAGGCGCAGCCGGTCTGCCCACCTGAGGGCGGCACCGCAACCGCGGCCTCGAGGCGGCAGACTGCCGCGGTGAGGCTGGCCAGCTGGCCCTGGACGCCGTCGAGGATGCCGAACAGCTCCTTCTCGTCGCCGGGCCCAGCTGGCGTCCAGCCTTCGCGCCCCTGGGACGCCGACTGCTTGTACTCCGACTTCTTCTGGTTGTACTCCGAGTGGTTGTACTCAGACTGGTTGTACTCCTCGTGCCAGCTGCGCGTGTACCAGTCCTGATTGTACTGCTTCTCAGGTTGCATCAGCATGGCGACGTCCTGCACGCGCGGGGCGTGGCCTCGGCGGGCCGCGAATCCCAGCCGGCGCGCCGCCGCCTGCTGCTGTCTCAGCGTCTCCTGCGCTGGTGCTGTCTCGCCCGCGCGGGGCGGTCTCCGTGGTCTCGGCTGGCTCCAGCCGGTGTGCATCTCGTGCCACTGCTTGGCGGGCGCGGCAGCGGCGGGCCCGATGGCCGACCCGCCGCGGCGCGCGTGAGGCCCGGCCGTGGGCGGGGGGCCCAGCCGGGAGGGGCGCGATCGGCCGATCGCGATCGGTCCCCGGCCAGCCCCTCGGCCAGATGCCTTCCCCTCTCCTCCCCCTCCTCCTCCTCCCTCCTCCTCCTCCTCCTCTCCTCCTCCTCCTCCTCCTCCTCCTCCTCCTCCTCCTCCTCCTCCTCCTCCTCCCCACCCCTCCATGTCTTCCACCTCTTCTTCCCCCTCCGCCTCATGCTTCTCGTCGCCCTCCTCCTCCCCCCACCACACTCACCCACCCAGACCCGCGCACGCAGCGGGAGGGGGAGGAGGGAAACAGAGGCTTATGAGGACGAGGAGGAGGGAGGAGAGGGGGAACAACAAAAAAGGTAAAGGCGCTTAGGGGGCGGGTCCACGGTCGATAAACTAAAAACTTGAAATATCCCTGCGTATGGTCCTCGGCTTCTCGCCCGATGCCTGCCTGGGGCGCCCCTCCGCGAGCTGCAATGAGGGGGTCCCCGTGCAGGGAGCAGACGTCCCCAACAACTGAAACAGCGCAGGGGCGCTGCGGACTGGGGACGCGCTTGGCCCCGAACCCGCCGTCCCAAACCAAGGGCTGCCGAAATACCGATCGATGCAGCAACGCCGTACTGTGCGAGCTGGGCAGTTAATCTCTCCAGAACCCGCCTCCACCCTCTCCCCTTCCACAAGGAACAACAGCAAAAGGGTTTCCCGTTGGCGCCAGACGCGCCAAGAATTCTGGTTCCCTTGGCACTCTCAGCTTGTGGTTCTCAATGTGGAGAACTCCGATGCCCCGAGGTGGGGCGAGGCACGCTGAAGCGAGGAGAAAGAGAGGAGGGAAAGACAGCCACGGGAACACAAGGAGGAGCAACGCAGAGCAAGGAGACGAAGAAACGGGGACGCAGGCGGCGCAAGCCACGAAGAGGGAGGGGCAAGGACGGAGACCGGACGATTGCATCCGGTTTTCCTTGGCGGCCGACTCGCGTTTACAACATCGCGAGCCCTTTGCACGCGCTGCTGTGGAACTGACCCAGTGTTGAACTACCTGAATGCCCTGGTCGAACCCCGTTCGAACAAACACGCGCTTGTATCAGTACACGTGACCACGCCAGTTTGGCAACAGCGTCCTGCATTCCGTATGTAAGTAAGACCACATTTTTCAATGTGATAAAATGAACGCCCTCGCCCCCTCCAGGAGCGCACAGCTGCCTCGAGAGCGTGATCGCCCCCTCCATGAGCGAAAAACTGCTTCGAGTGCGCGATCGGTGTGAGAATGCATTTGGGAAGTGCGCCTTCCGTCAATTGCAAAACTTCGGTGGTCGTACTCCGCTGTGTGACAATATGACGCTACTAGCCCACCTGTGTCGGCGAAGTGTCCTGATTCCCTCTTCATCAGCCCCGTTGTGATAAGCTACGTTGAAGCAACAAACTGCCTTGCATTTCGTCAACCACAAGAAATAGCAAACATATAGTTGTGGGAGCTAGAACTACACTAGCAGACACAGCTTGAATTATGTGAACTGTGTGCGCGTTGTGAAACAGCCACGAGCCGACCGATGGCATCAACGTGCAGTGTGTCTGTGAAGTGACCGCCTCCAGAAAAAAAGCTCTTTAACACTACTGCCAAACAACAGACCATCCACTATATCATGCACTGCTGTCCCGATCTCTGTGTTGGCACCAGCCTGACGCGGCGCACCCCATTGTCCATATCAGCACTTGGCAAGGGAAATATGCCTTATTACTTTGCTCCAGCCCCGGCGGCCGCAACAGTGCCGTTTCCTTCGATGTATCAAGTTTTGCGGCATGGCATTTCTTCGCGTGGGTGAGTCATGACTTTCGCACCTCTCCTCGTGCGAGTCGTCTTCTCGTAGCAGGCAACACTTGTAGTCCCGTCGGAATCACATGCGGCACATGTCGAGACCACGGGGATAGAAAAATGGCGAGGTGGGCACAATGGTTTGCGCCCTCGCCTCCCTCTGGCCCAAGACGGGAAGGAGCGGTGGCCGAAGGTCTGCAGGGGGGAAGATGTGTGCACCCTCCTGGTGGGCCGGGGATCTCTCGGAACTTCCCGCAGCGACCTGAAGGAGGAGGAGGAGGAGGAGGAGGAGGAGGGAACAGGAGGAGGAGGAGGAGGAAGACGGGGAAGAGGACGAGCAGGACGGAGAGAGGAGTACAGCAAGAGGAATGAGGAGAGAGAACGATGAGGTAAGAGGGCAAGAAACTTGAAGAGAGGATGAAAAAGGAGGAAACGGAAGAGACGGAACGAGGGAGAGCGAGGACGACGAGGACGAGGACGAGCCCCCCCCCCCGTTCTCTTCACGGCGGCCCCGCGAGACGCCAGAAGGCTGCAGGTGGCCGGCGAACTGCCACGAGGCGATCGCGCCTCGATGGGCGCCTGGCTGATCCTCAGCGCGAGCTGCGGGCCCTCGCCGGAGGCGGCCTGGGCGCAAGCGGGGGCGAAGGGGGGAGGACGGGGGCACGATGGGGATCTAGGGCTCCCAACTTCGCGCTTCGCGCTCCGCGAAGCGCGAAACGCGAATAACTTCGCGCTCTCGCGCCGCCCCCCCAAAGGGAGAAAAGGAGGACGAGGAGGAGGGGGAGAAGGAGCGAGGACCGCGAAGCGCGAAGCGCGAATAACTTCGCGCCCTCGTGGGAGCCCTTGGGGATAGGCACAACAACGCGCGCGTGCCACGCGTCGCGGTCGAGCGCCCGTCGGAGCGGCGCGCGGAAGGCGGGCGCGCGGAGGGCGGGGGAGGAGGGTCCGCAGGATAGGAGGATGCGGCAACTCCTGGGCAACAAACCGAATGGAAAAACCTGATAAACATCGGATTGCAAAGGATTGCAAAAAAACCCTTTGCAATCCTTTGCAAAGGATTGCAAAAAAAACCTTCGGTTTTTTTGCAATCCTTCGGTTGTTTTGCAATCCTTCGGTTTTTTTGCAATCCTTTGCAATGCGGAGGAGATCAGGAGCACTAAGGGGTTCTCATGTCTATCGCGAGGACACGGGAGTACTTGTTGTGATGCCCGTTCTTGCCATGGTGCCCCATGGATGGCACTGTACCTGTGACGCCTAGAGCGCTGCGAGGACTCGCTCGTGCCCTGGTGTATTATCGGAGGTTGGGGGGTGAGATCGCAGTGAAGCGGAGACCCCCCACCGGGAAATCAGTTTCGGTTTCGTGTTCGTGTCGCGCGTGCGGGCGAGGCGAAGCTGCGCGTGATCCTCCTGTAGGTGGGCCGAAGTAGGAGCGAAAGTCCGTTCCCGTTCGCCGGTGGCTGGGAAGTGTCCCAGTTGGGCCGGGCGGTGTCCCGGGTGTCCCGGGTGTCCCGGGCGTCCTGGCGCTAACGCATGTCGCTAATTTGATAATTCATTATTTTCGGCGCCTGCGGCGGGCTTTCTTATCCAATCCAGCTTATCTTATCCAATCCATCTAGTCCAAACCAATCCAGCTTATCTTATCAAACCCATCTTGTCCCATCTTATCTTATCCCACCCAATCCAATCCACCCAACCCAATCCATCAATTCATTTATGTCTGCGCCTGCGGCGGGCCAATCCAACCCATCTTATCTTATCAAACCCATTTAATCCAATCCAGCCTATTTTATCTTATCCAATCAATTGATCTCAGCGCCAGGGTGGGCATTTGACCTCAATCCCCCCCCCACAACCTCCTTATCGCCCGCAGGGCGGTCGTATAGGTACATAATGATCTATGGCTAGCGCCCCGTGGTGCCTAAGTGGCTGCGATGCGTTGAAATTGTCCTGGTGTCTGATTGGTGGCGCTGAGTAGATCTACGCTGCGTGATGCTTCTCGTCTGTCTGACGTACTGCTCCTCCTCCGACCACCACTAAGCCCGACGCGCCCTGCCCCCCTCTCCCCCCTTTCGGCCAGGGAGTCCTGGGAGAACCCTGCGAGGCCAGAGCGGCCCCTGGGAGGCCCAGGAGACCCCCCTTGCGATGCCCAGGGGGGGGGGTCCAGGGGGTGGCCTCTCCACCCAAGGACCAAATGGTGCCGCCCGCATGCGTCCCCACCACCCATTTCAGCACACCCCTCACACGCTTCGTGGCCAAACAGGGAGCTCCACCCAAGGCCCAAGTGGTGCCGCCCGCATGCGTCCCCGCCACCAACTTCCACACACACACACACACACACACCTCACACTTTTCACGGCCCCGCAGGGAGCTCCACTCAATGTTCCAATGCCACCGTTCGCATGCGTCCCCCCCGCCACTCCCATCACATGTTTCCTACGTTTCGTGGCCCCACAGGCAGCTCCACCCAAGGCCCCACGAGGAGATCCACTGAAGGCGATATGCACAACGACGGTACTCACAGCTGCATCTGGTTGGGCTCCTCGCCAGGATAATGTTGCATTGCAGTCCCTGCTGCGCTGTAGTGGCGCTGCTCGAGCTTAAGCTTAAGCTTCCGCGTGAGAGCCAAGCGTGGTTTGGGGAGGTTCAGGGATGCCGGCGACGACCACACGGAGACATGATGTGTTGCATTGCAGTTTGTGTTGCATTGCAGTTGTTGTTGCGTTGCAGTTGCTTGGCGCTGCAGTGGCGCTGCTCGAGCTTGAGCTAGGATTCCGCCCGGGAGCCAAGCGCGGTTTGGAGAGGTTCAGGGAGAGTTGAAGCGCATATGCTGGCGACAACACGATGTGCTTGTGTTGCATTGCAGTTTGTTTGGTTTGCATTGAAACTGTTCTTCCATTGCAGCTTTTCTTGCGCCGCAGAGGCACTGCCTGAGCTTAAACCTAGGCTTCCGCGTGAGAACCAAGCATGGTTTGCAGAGGTTCAGGGAGGGTTGAAGCGCACATGTCCGCGACGACAACACAAACACATGTGTTGTTGCATTGCAGTTTTGTTGCGCTGCAGTCTTTAACTGCATTGCCTGTTTTTTGCGCTGTAGTGGCGCTGCTAGAGAGCTTAGGCTTCCACGTGCGAACGAAGCGTTGTATGGGGAGCTCCAGGTAGGGTTGAAGCGCACATGTCGGCGACGACACGAAACAGTTGTTTCCGCATTGCAATGTTTGCTTGCGCTGTAGTCGCGCTGCTCGAGCTTAAGCTTAGGATTCCGCGTGCGAGCCAAGCGTGGTCTGCGGAGGTTCAGGAAGGGTTGAAGCGCATATGATGACGACGACGGCACGAAAACATATTTTGTTGCATTGCAGTTTCTTTTGCATTGCAGTTTTTTCTGAATTGCTTAGTTCTGTTGCGCTGTAGTGGCGCTGCTACAGCTGGCTGGCTGGTCTTCCTGGCTGGTCTGACTGGTCTGGCTGGCTGGTCCGACTGGTCTGACTGGCTGGTCTGGCTCCTCTACTTGGTCTGGTCAAGTTGATCTGCTTGGTCCAGTCTGAGCTTATCTGCTGGGTCTGGGCAGGTTGACCTGCTTAGTCTGGTCCGGGCTTCGCTGGTCTGAACGGCTAGCTGGTCTGGTTGGTCTGGTTGGTCTACTTGGCTGATCTGGTTGGTCTACCTGGCTGGTCTGACTGGCCGGTCTGGCTAGTCTACTTGATCCAGGTAGTCTGGGTGGCAGGTCTAGTTTCGTCTATAGTCTGTTTACTTGCGGTCCATCCAGAGAACAACATCCCACGAGCCAGTAAGAAAAGCCGCCTTGTCCTCGTCCTCGACTTCCTCGTCGTCGTCGTCGTCGTCATCGTCCAACCCGTGGCGTCGCCGCAGCCGGGGCTGGGGCCGAAAGCACTGCTGCATCAAGTCCGGCTGCGGCGAAAATAGAGGTGACGGGGGGAGGGAATATCAGCAGCCATATCAATTCTTGTGCACCAGAGCCAAGGGCTCCCAACTTCGCGCTTCGCGCTCCGCGAAGCGCGAAGCGCGAATAACTTCGCGCTCTCGCGCCGCCCCCCAAAGGGAGAATAGGAGGACGAGGAGGAGGGGGAGAAGGATCGAGGACCGCGAAGCGCGAAGCGCGAATAACTTCGCGCCCTCGGGGGAGCCCTTGATTCTTGTGCACCAGAGCATGGTAAGCCGCTGGGGCATAGCAGCAGATTGGCATAGGCGCCCGCGCGCTCGCAACGTATTAGTGTAGGTGTCGGCATGTGTATGTCCTTAAAGCATTGGCCACGACAGTCCTGGCCGTGGCGGTCATTGAATACAGGCGGCGGACAGGGGGGGGATGATCAGGATGTGGATGAGGAGGAGGAGGAGGACGCAGACGGAGAAACCTCTCAGAGCAGGACGCTTTGAGCTTCGGCGGCCGAGGGCGCAACCCGTCCGCCACCGAGCCCTCGGCATGTTGGGGCATGTTGACATGACTGTCAGGTGCTAGTTGTCTGGTACGTGTGGCTTCTTTGGTTTCAGGGAGTGCCCCCCCTCCCTTCTGGCGCACGCCCCGCTAGAAATTCGCCCCCCCGACCACCCCCCCGTTCTGGTCTTCGGCTCGAGACGGCCCAGCGGCCTCCCAGAGTCTCCAAGATGCCCCCTGGAGGCTCCAAGATGGCCCAAGAAGACCCGAAGAGACGTCCCCGGCATGGCCTGGAGATGCTTAAAACATCGGGAAAAACAATGGGATGTCAATGCGTCTTGCTTCCGAAGATGCTGGCCCCTAGAATACTTCAAGACAGCCCGAGGCGGCCCCAAGACGGCCCGACACTCCAAGATCTTCCCAAGACGGCCCAAGACACGCCCAGACGTCCCCAAGCTGGTTCAACCGAGCCTCTCCGGGAGAGCTCGATAGAAACATTACACCCACGACGGCCTAGAGACCACCGACGGGCCCCCAACAGGCCCCCAGGAGGCTCCAACAAAAGCAACTGGGGCCTCCAAGAGGCCGCACTGAAGCCGCAGAGAAGCCTCCGAGCTACCTTCAAAGAAAAGGAGGACGGGAGGGGGGAGGACAAGGATGAGAAGAAGGACAAATGAGGAAGGAGGAAGAGGAGGAAGAGAAGGAGGAAGAGAAGGAGGAGGACGAGGCTGAGGACGAGGCTGAGGACGAGGAGGGGCACTTAAGACCCGCGCCAGTTCAGAGGGAGCACCGGACTGGACAAGGATTTAACGTCAGCCGCATCCCTGCCGCGCTGCAGCGCTGTCACGATGGCGGAACGACGACGTCGGAGACGACGACGACGACAACGACAACGACAACGACAACGACGACGACGTCGACGACGACGACGACGGCAACGGAGGCGAGGCAGAAGATGAGGACAAGCAGGCGGGCGGGACTCGGAGTAGTCCTCCCTGACAGCCTCTGCGGTGGTACGCCCGATCGCCGGAGAGAGGCGAGGCTCGAACGGCATGCTGCCTCGTGTTGTGCCGCGACAGCGGATGTTAGGGTTCACTTCCTACTCCTCCTCCTCCTCCTCCTCCTCCTCCTCCTCCTCCTTCTCATCCTGCTGCTGTAACTCGCTGCGGGCCGAGAGGGGAGGTGAAGCGGGGAGAGCGAGAAGGGGAGGGATGGGGGAGCGAGGGATCAATTGCCAGGCACGTTGATCTTGCGCGGCGAGGCTCCAGGTCGAGAATCACATGTGGCACCCAAAGATGGCCGAGCGCACGGCCTGTAAGAACAAAATAAGGTCATCGCTCTAGTGGGATCGGTCACCTGATTTCTCAGCGTAGGTGGAGAGCATTTGTTTATTCGCGGCGATCACGGGCGTTATGGGGACGACGACTACGACAACGACGACGACGACGACGACGACAACGAGGAGTTGTGGCGAGTACATACCTGCGAAGGCGTCGCTGCCTCCACGTGGCGTATAAGAGGTATGATCCTTAACTCTCTCCTCCATCCTCCTCCTCATCGTCCTTCTTCTCCGATTGCTCTCTCTCCTACGAACACCACAAGTGCCTGAGATCATCGCAACTTGCCCGCGACCACCGGCCCTATGCAGATCTCTGTGCAGATCCGTATGAGGACCCCTCTGGCGATCCCTATGCTCATCCCTATGCGGATCCCCATGCTGATGCTTACACGGATCCCTATGCGGATCCCTATGCGGATGCCTATGCGAATTGCCATGCGGATCCCTATGCGGAACCCTGTGCGATTGCCTCTGGGGATCCCTATGCAGATCCCCACGCGGATCCCTGTGCGGATCCCTATGCAGATCCCTATGCGGATCTCTATAGGATCCCTGGGAATCCCAATGCGGAACCCTATGCGGATCCCCATGGATTTCTCTATGCGATCCTCATGCGGATCCCTACGCGGATTTCTGTGTGGATGCCTATGGGGATGCCTATGCGCACGGCGGCAGTGCCGGATGCGCACTGGGGGCCGGAGCGTTATGTTATGGGAGGGGAGGGAGGGCGGGGGGGGGCCACAATGCGCGTTATGGCCCAAGCAATAGAGAAACAGGCTCATGATGCATCTGCGCGAGGGAGTACATGCTCGATGCTGGCGTCACTGGAAGGAGCAAGAGCGGGGAACGCGGGGGTGATGGCCCCTCCTGGGCCCAAGATCTGGCTGGAACCCGCGCGTTTTCCCGAAACGCTGACCACTGCATCCCAAGTGTCGCGAAATCGACCGATGATTCGGCCAGCGCCCATCTGAACCGAGGTCTTTCGCTATGGGGCTGCGCGGTTTGGCTGGGAGCGGCACCCAAACCAGGATCACCAGTCATGATTCATCCACCACCGTGCCGTAGGCGCTAAGTGGAGTGTCGTCAGGCCCAATTGAGCCTCCAACGTTAGCTGTGAAACTGCTCATCCAAGGCCCCGACCCTCAACTCACAAGTCTGTCTGGTGCTTCTGGGCGCGTCGGGGCACTTTGGGGGCACGTCGCTTGACCCAGTCAGAGGCCTTTGCAGACTGGCTAATCATATCATCAAACTTGTTCTAAGGTCGCAGCGGGGGGGTCATCTTTGGAACATCGCGGACCGTCATGGAGGCTCTCCACAGCCGTGACAGAAGTTTCTTCAACTTGCTATGGCGAAGATATCTCCCGTCCCTCTTAACATTCCGAGCATTGTGATCATGGCGTCATTCGGCGGAAAGGTTTCCGATCTGCCTGATATTTCTAATTCTGTCAACCAAAGCTGAATCGGGAGCTACGCCGCGCCACACCATAAAAAGTGCGCGGAATAGTTCCCGGAGTACATTTACTCCGTGCGCGGAGTAGTTGGAGTACTGCTGCTCCGAACTACCCCGCCCTGCTGCGTCATTGGCGAAGCCAGATTGAAAGAAACGTTCGTCACAATGTCGGGATTGACCTCACAACCCAGCATCAGCTCCGACACACGCATGGTCTGGCACCATTTCCAGATTCTGGCCTTCTCGGTGACGGTCCAAGAGGCTCCAAAGACTGCCCCAGGATGGCCAGGAGGCAGCCGAAAGTGGTCTTAGAGGCCCCCAAGACGGCTGAAGAGTGGCGCTAAAAGTGCATTACCTCCAGACCGCCGTAAGCCTCCTCGCAAAGATGGACCTAAGACCCCAGAGACTCCCCAGAGGCCCTCAAGATACACCCACGAGCCTTCCGATAGCCTCCTGGGAGGCCCTCAAGACGCCCCAATCAAGCCCCCAATAAACCCACACGAGGGCCAAATCCCAAAATGAGAAAGAGCCTTCGCTTTAGTCGCGTGGATTCTCATCGCACCCCCCCTGTATGAAAGACCCCCTCCTCCACGGCGAGGAATCCCCCTTTACCTGTCCCCCCTCGCCGCCGGCACACATCGTCGTCATCGTCCTCCTCCTCGTCGTCGTCGTCATCGTCGTCGTCATCGTTGTCTTCGTCGTCGTCGTCGGCACACGTCGTCGTCGTCGTCGCCGTCGTCGTCGTCGGCATCGCTCGTCGTCATTGTCGTCGCCGTCATTTTCGTCGTCGTCATCGTTTGTCGCTCGTCGTCGTCGTCGACGGTATGACTCGTCGCCTTCGTCGTCAGCGCTCGTCGTCGTCGTCATCGACATCGTCGCTCGTCGTCGTCATCGGCGTTATAGGCGTCGGTATCGCTTGTCGTCTTCGTCGTTATCGTCGCTCGTCGTCGTCGTCGTCGTTGCTTTCGTCGCTCGTCGCCGTCGTCGCTGATTGACGTCGTCGTCACTGACGTCGCTCGTCGTCGTCGTCGCTGATCGACGTCGTCGTCGTCGTCGCAGATCGACGTCGTCGTCGCTCGTCCCTCGTCGTCGCTCGTCTACGTCTTCGTCGCCGGCGTAGTCGGCGTCGGTATCGCTCGTCGTCGTTGTCATAATCGTGGTCGTCGTCGTCATCGTCGTGGTCATCGTCGTCGCTCGTCGCTATCGTCTTCGCCCGTCGACGTCGTCACTCGTCGCTCGTCGTCGTCGTCGTTGATCTTCGTCGTCGTCGCTCGTTATCGTCGTCGTTCGTCGTCGTCATCGTCGCTGGTCGTCGTCGGTATCGCTCATCGTCGTCGTCGTCATCGTTGCTCGCCGTAGTCGTCGTCGTCGTCGTCGTCGTCGTCGTCGTCGTCGTCGTCGTCGCTGATCGACGTCATCGACGTCGCTGTCGTCGCTCGTTGTCGTCGTCGCTGATCGACGTCGTCGTCGTCGCAAATCGACGTCGTCGTCGCTCGTCGCTCGTCGTCGCTCGTCTACGTCGTCGTCGCCGGCGTAGTCGGCGTCGGTATCGCTCGTCGTCGTTGCCGTCATCATCGTGGTCGTCGTCGTCATCGTTGTCGTCGCTCGCCTTCTTCCTCGTCGTCGCTCGTCGTCACTCGTCGCTCGCCGTCGTCGTCGCTCATCGTCGTCGTAGTCGTAGTCGTCGTCATCATCGCTCATCGTCGTCGTCGCTGGTCCTCGTCGCTGTCGTCGCTCGTTATCATCGCTCGTCGCTCGTCGCTCGTCGTCGTCGTCGTCGCTCGTCGTCGTCGTCGTCGGCGTAGTAGGCGTCGGCTTAGTCGTCGTCGCCGTCGCCGTCGTCGCTGCCGTCGTCGTCGCGGGCGTGTCGGGCGTGCGGGGGACACGTCGTCGTGGACGAGTCTGTCGGGCGGCGGGTGGGACACGTCCTCAATTGGAGGCGTGGGGAGGGGTAGAGAGGGGGGGAACGTTCGAACTTCCCCCCAGGACTTTGGAGGGGACCGCCCCCCTCCCCCCACCACCCCGACTTCCTCCCAGCGGGCTAAGAAGACGCTCTTTCCAAGATCGCGAGGTGCCCCCGACCAGACTCCCACTGCGCACCGCCTCCACAACCCAGGCACGGCGACAGGATGGGCCGGAGGCCACTCGATGTATGTTTGCTGCCGACGCTACTTCTCACCCTCTGAACCCGAAGAAAAGAATCCTTACAATTCTTTGGGGGGCAAGTACCACCCGCCCCTTTGCGAAGGCTGGCACCAGCACAATAGAGAGAGAGAGAAACAGAAAAAGATAGAGACGACGACGACGACGACGACGACGACGAGCAAGACGACGACAACAGCGAGGGAGAGGATCGGGAGAGGGTCGGGGCGGTGGGACCACGGAGCAAGATGATGGATGCCAGCGTGCTCGAGTTCCCGCAATAGCTAGACACTTACTAGCGGGAGTTGCAGCTTGCCACTTTTATATCAACAGCGCCCCTGTCACAGCTCACTTACGAGAAACTCTGACACCATTGTCCTCCACTTCGGATCGAACTCTTGAGTAAGAAGTGATATGACTTCTGGCAGCGCGACGCCGAACGCAGCTCGTGCATTGCCCCCGTTCAGGAGCCGCGTGGTCAGCAGAATCCAGCGGGGGTCCCTGCTGCCCCAATCGAGCGGTCCCTCGAGGCGGCTCATTCGAACCTTCTCATCCGACGTGGCATTGTCGATGAGGGCTATCGCCGCATCCACAAACTCGCGCGGCGTTGGCGGGGCCTGAGCCTCCTTCTGCTCGGGCTCGGGGGCATCACAGGTTTCGCCGCTCGGGACCGACTCCACGTTGTCTGGCTGAAGGCACTTCACCTCGGGCCGCGAGATGAGCCTCACTGCGTAGCGACCCTTGTCGCTGGCAAAGCCAGTCACGACGCCGGGCTGCCCGTTCAACTTCCTCCCTGCGTCGGAGGTGAGGCCCTTGATCCGCACCTTGCGCCCGATCTTGAGGCCCTTGGGTCCACACGCTCCCCGGTTGTCACACAGCACACAGGGAGGCAGCCTGGGCGGGGAAGGCTTCTGCGACATGCCCATCCTCATCATCTGGTTCTGCGCCCGCTCCGCCCCCACGGAGTTGAACGGCAGCTCGGAATAGTTGTGCCCCGGCAAGACCAACACGGACGGGTCGAGCTTGCTGAGGCGCGAGAGGGACGCGAACATCTGCTCCTGGTCCGACCCGGGGAGGTCGGTGCGCCCGCAGCTGCCGACGAACACGGTGTCTCCCGTGATCAGCAGCCCAGCCTCGCACCTGGTGAGGGTCTCCTTGAACGGTGAGGCGCCGATCGGGCCGCGGGGCGAGAATGGTGAAAGAAGAACGCACGCCCATGCGCACAGGGGGGTCGGAGGGGCGAGGCGGTGAGGGAAGAAAGAGAGAGGGCACTGGGGGGCGGGCGGGAGGGGCAAACGAGCGAGAGGAGACGGATAGCAGAATGCCAAGAGAGGGGAGGGGAGGGACAGGAAGGGAGACTGGGGGTGGGGTAGGAGGACCGGCCGCCCCCCTCTCTTCACCCCCTCCCTTCCCCTCGTGCCACGCCCGCGGCGACCAGGCGAGCTGGGGGCCGTGGTCTCGCCACAGAAGTGCCCAGCGTGCTAAATGTCTGGTGGTTGTTGGTTCTTTCTGAATCTCCCCCTGAGGTTTCGGTCCATTGCGCTGGCCATCCGGGACGCTTGCCTGGAGCCGGTTGACAAGGATTTTTCTGCTCCAGGTGGGCCCCAGGTAGCCTTTAAGGCGGGCACCTTTAAGTTCGCCCAGGATGATCCAAAATAGCTTCCTAGACGACCCAAGAGGGTCCAAGATACCTCCAAGTCCGCCCAAGAAGCCTTCAAGACGGCCCAAGACGGCTCAAAAGGCCTCCAAGAGATCCTCCAGGTGGGCCCGAAGAGGCCAAAATTGTTGATTCCCTTGGATTTTCGAAGGATGCTGCCCCTTGGTTATTTTCGGCCTTCCGACGGCCCAAGACGGCCCAAGAGGCCCCCAAGATCGCCCCAAGATGGCCCCAAAGGCCTCCAAGATGACCCCATGACGGCCCAATAAACCTCCAAGACGGCCACACGAGAGCTCAAGCCGGCCGAAGAGGACTCCAAGACGCCCAAGTGGCCTCCAAGACGGCCCTGAAGCGCCCCAAGGCCCCAAGTCGCTTCAGAGAGGCATCAAAGACGGCTTCCGACGGCGTCAGACGAGCCAGGAACGCCCTAAGGAAGCCAAAGCGGCCTCGAACAAGCCCCAAAAGGCTACAAAGAGGCCCAAGGAGGCTCCCAAGAGGCCTCCAAGAAGCCCCCAGGATGCTTCCAGGAGGCTCCAAGAGTGCCCCGTGAGGTTTCCAAGAAAAGTCCTCGTCGTCGTCGTCCTCCTCCTCCTCCTCCTCTTCCTCCTCCTCCTCCTCGTCGTCCTCCTCCTCCTCCACCTCCTCCTCCTCCTACTCACTTCTCATTATCCTCATTCTCCTCTTCCTCCTGTTTTCCTCGAGAAAGGTTTCAACGACAGCTGGGGGGAACACATGGTCCGATAGCTCCAGCTCAACTTTCGGCCACACAGGCGCCTCCAAGAAGGTAGGGATCGGGGGTGATTCGCCGTACTGTAGGCATCTTCGATCCGCCGCCCCGTGGTCTTGCCACAAGGGTGCCCGGCGTACGTTCCCCCTGGGGCTTTGGTCCATTGCACCGGCCACGCGGAAAATGTACATGCCGATGCCTTTCTCGCACAAGAACGCACAAGATGGCCGCCAAGATGCCTCCAAGATGCCTCCAAAACAACCAAGATGGCTCCTACAAAAACCCAAGAAGGCCCCGAGATGCCCGGAAGACGGCCCAAGACGGCACAAGATGGCCTAAGACGGCCCAAGACGCCCCCAAGAGGCCTCCAAGACGGCTCAAAAGGCCTCCAAGAGGTCCCCCAGGAAGGCCAGAAGAAGCCCAAATCATGGGTTTGCCTTAGGTTTGGGAGGATTCCCGCATTTGCTTCGAAACGGCTTTTCGACGGCCTTAGCTGGTCCACGAGGCCGAAAGATCGCCCCAAGATTGCCCCAAAGGCCTCTAAGATGACCCCATGACGGCCCAATAGGCTCCCAAGACGGCCCACAAAGGGCCCAAAGGCGGCTCAAGAGGCCTCCATGACGCCCCAGATGGCCGGCAAGACGGCCCTGACGCGCCACAAGAGGGCCCAGAGAGGCTCCCAAGACAGCATCCGACGGCGTCAGACGGGCCAGGAACGCCGTAAGACGGCCAAAGAGGCCCCCAAGAAGCACCCAGGGCTCCCAAGAGGCCCAAGGAGGCCCCCAAGAGGCCTCCAAGAGGCCCCCAGGAAGCTCCCAGGTGGCCCCAAGAATGACCCAAGAAGCTGACAAGAGGTCTCCTCATCCTTCTTCTCATCATCCTTTCTCCTCACTCTCCTCGTCCTCCTCGTCCTCCCCCACGTTTTCCCCGAAGGGCTTCCACAACGGCTGGGGGAAAGCATGGTCCAATCGCGTGGCCGAACTTTGCCCATACGTTTTGGCACATGGGCGTATCCTAAAAGGCAGGTGACGGCGGTAATTCACCGTAGGCGTCTTCGATACCGAATCGCAACGCCCCCGCTTACAAATCTCGGGGTTGGAATTCGATGAGGGCTGTGGGTGCGTGCTGTCGGACGGGGATCCTCGCTCGATCGGGAGCCCAACTCGGGATCCGACAACCCGCACAGATGCCCCCAGCGAGTCCCCAAAAATCGGGAGGCGCGGGTCAGCAGATTCCGAGGACGCTCTCCGGGGGGGGGGCTATGGGTGCGTGCTGTCGGACGGGGATCCCCGCCCGAACGGGAGCCCACCCTCGGGGTCCGACGACCCGCGCGGATACCCCCATCGCGTCCCCAAACATCTTGAGGCGCGGGTCGGCAGACTCCGAGGCCGCCCCCGGCTTCCCCGCACCGCCCCCCCTGGCTCGCCCGGTCGCCTCGGGCGTGGCACGAGGGGACGACGAGGGGGGGGAGAGAGGGGGGGCCCGCCCTCCCATGTACACCGCCCCATCTCCCTCCCCGTTCTTCCCCTTCCCCCTCTCGTTATTCCCCCATCCGTCTCCTCTTGCGCGCCACGCCCGCCCGCCAGCCCCCCATGGCATCCTCCTCTCGCGTCACCCTTCCCCTGGTTCTCCCCCGTCGCCTTGGCCCCCTCTGGCCGTCGTCCTCGCGTCCCCGACTACGTCTACGTCCTCCCACCGTTCCCCTCTCTCTCTTGCTTCCCCGCCTTGTCTCTCCCCCCCCGTCATCCTCCTTCCGATCCCCCTTTGGGTACGGCCGTGCGTTGTTCGTTCACCAGATAAGCACTGCGGCGCAGCGAAGATGCAAATCGAGCCTGGGGTGTGGCCAGGCGTGTGAATGACGTGCAGCACGAGGTCGCCGCAGTCGAGCACGTCCCCGTCGCCCACCTCTAGCGGCTGCCGGCTCAGTTGGCACTGCCCCGTCATCTGGGAGCCGTCGCCCGGGCCCGCCCACACTCGACCCCCGCGGACCTCAATGTCCCTCGCGCCTGGCTTCGAGACGCGGCGGCCACGGGTCATGAAGGGGGGCAGCTCGCCTCCGCAGTGGTCGAAGTGGCCGTGGGTGTAGATGGCGCCGCGGATCGTGACCCCGAGCGCCGAGGCAAGCCCGTAAAGCCCCTCCACGTCCCACGCCGCGTCGACGGCGATGGCAGTGCGATCGTGCGTGTTGACGACGAGGTATACGTAGTTGGCTAGCTGGCGCGCCATGGGGTCGTCAGCGGCGAGCTCCCGCCCACAGAGGAGCTGGTACACCAGGACACCTCCGCACTGCAGCACCTGCGTGGTTGGGCCCTCCACGCGATCCATGCGGGGAGATGTGGAGGGGCCCCCGAAGCGCGGAGGTCGGTGCTCCATGCGCAAGGAGGAGGAGGAGGAGGAGGAGGAGGAAGAGAAGGAGGAGGAGGGGGAGGGGAGGGAGGAGGGGGAGGGGGAGGGGAATGAGGAGGGGGGTTCAGGAGGGAGGAGTGCACGTGGCCTTGGCGAGCATGTCATGGTTGTGCGATTTGCAGTGCGGCGCGGGCAGACTGCCGAGCCTGCACCAGAAGAGCACGTGACGCAGCCACGCTCTGTGCAAGGATTGGCCGACACTTCTGGTAGATCTGTGTGTATGTGCAGCCGTCCGTTAACCACCCCCGCACAGTCAGACTCATCCCCAAAACCGATCCGAGAAGGCGGAGCGATGAGAAGGAACAGGCAGTGTGAGATGAATCGGGAGAGTCGCAACCGAACCTGTGATTACTTTTCGCATGGACGTTGATTTTGCCACTCGTGATCCACGACCCAGACAAGCTCTTACTGTGCGGCCACGCTCTCGAAGTCGCCTGCGATGCCAGAAGCCGCCTCGGACGGCTCCATCGGAGGCCCATGTCGCGCATGGGGGGGGATAGGTGAAACACCACGAGGAGAGGCGGCAGTCAACAATGAGCTGGGTGATAGAGTCTGGAGCGCATTCAACTTGCAAATCATCCCGGCAAAGCAACCCAACAGCGATGTGTAGGAGCATATCTGGAAGCATTCCCCCTAAGATTCAGATGAGAATCCTGTTGTAGAATTCTGCAGTTCTCGCAGTCGTAGTCGCATTCGCGATGGCAGTCGCAGTGGCAACGGCAGTCGCAGTCACAGCCTCAGCCTCAGCCTGCCTCAGCCTCAGCCTCAGCCTGCCTCAGCCTCAGCCTGCCTCAGCCTCAGCCTTAGCCTGCTTCAGCCTCAACTCAGTCTGCCTTCAGCCTCGGCCTCAGCCTCAGCCTGCCCCAGCCTCAGCCTGCATCAGCCTCAGCCTCAGCCTCAGCCTGCCTCAGCATCAGCCTGCCTCAGCCTCAGCCTCAGCCTCAGCCTCAGCCTCAGCCTCAGCCTCAGCCTCAGCCTCAGCCTCAGCCTGCTCAGCCTCAGCCTCAGCCTCAGCCTCAGCCTGCCTCAGCAGCCAGCCTGCCTCAGCCTCAGCCTGCCTCAGCCTCAGCCTCAGCCTGCTTCAGCCTCAGCCTCAGTCTGCCTTCAGCCTCGGCCTCAGCCTCAGCCTGCCTCAGCCTCAGCCCATCAGCCTCAGCCTCAGCCTCAGCCTGCCTCAGCCTCAGCCTGCCTCAGCCTCAGCCTCAGCCTGCCTCAGCCTCAGCCTGCCTCAGCCTCAGCCTCAGCCTGCCTCAGCCTCAGCCTCAGCCTCAGCTCAGCCTCAGCCTCAGCCTCAGCCTCAGCCTCAGCCTCAGCCTCAGCCTCAGCCTTCAGCCTCAGCCTCAGCCTCAGCCTCAGCCTCAGCCTCAGCCTCAGCCTCAGCCTCAGCTCTCAGCCTGCCTCAGCCTCAGCCTGCCTGCCTCAGCCTCAGCCTGCCTCAGCCTCAGCCTCAGCCTGCTTCAGCCTCAGCCTCAGCCTCAGCCTCAGCCTCAGCCTCAGCCTGCATCAGCCTCAGCCTCAGCCTCAGCCTGCCTCAGCATCAGCCTGCCTCAGCCTCAGCCTCAGCCTGCCTCAGCCTCAGCCTCAGCCTGCTTCAGCCTCAGCCTCAGTCTGCCTTCAGCCTCGGCCTCAGCCTCAGCCTGCCTCAGCCTCAGCCTGCATCAGCCTCAGCCTCAGCCTCAGCCTGCCTCAGCATCAGCCTGCCTCAGCCTCAGCCTCAGCCTGCCTCAGCCTCAGCCTCAGCCTGCTTCAGCCTCAGCCTCAGTCTGCCTTCAGCCTCGGCCTCAGCCTCAGCCTGCCTCAGCCTCAGCCTGCATCAGCCTCAGCCTCAGCCTCAGCCTGCCTCAGCATCAGCCTCAGCCTCAGCCTCAGCCTGCCTCTGCCTCAGCCTCAGCCTGCTTCAGCCTCAGCCTCAGTCTGCCTTCAGCCTCGGCCTCAGCCTCAGCCTGCCTCAGCCTCAGCCTGCATCAGCCTCAGCCTCAGCCTCAGCCTGCCTCAGCATCAGCCTGCCTCAGCCTCAGCCTCAGCCTGCCTCAGCCTCAGCCTCAGCCTCAGCCTGCCTCAGCCTCAGCCTCAGTCTGCCTTCAGCCTCGGCCTCAGCCTCAGCCTCAGCCTCAGCCTGCCTCAGCCTCAGCCTCAGCCTCAGCCTGCCTCAGCCTCAGCCTGCCTCAGCCTCAGCCTCAGCCTGCCTCAGCCTCAGCCTCAGCCTGCTTCAGCCTCAGCCTCAGTCTGCCTTCAGCCTCGGCCTCAGCCTCAGCCTGCCTCAGCCTCAGCCTGCATCAGCCTCAGCCTCAGCCTCAGAGCCTCAGCATCAGCCTGCCTCAGCCTCAGCCTCAGCCTCAGCCTCAGCCTCAGCCTCAGCCTGCTTCAGCCCCAGCCTCAGTCTGCCTTCAGCCTCGGCCTCATCCTCAGCGTGCCTCAGCCTCAGCCTGCATCAGCCTCAGACGCAGCCTCAGCCTGCCTCAGCCTGCCTCAGCATCAGCCTGCCTCAGCCTCAGCCTCAGCCTCAGCCTGCCTCAGCCTCAGACTCAGCCTGCTTCAGCCTCAGCCTCAGTCTGCCTTCAGCCTCGGCCTCAGCCTCAGCCTGCCTCAGCCTCAGCCTGCCTCGGCCTCAGCCTCAGCCTGCCTCAACATTCAAAATGTGGCCCGGGAATGGAGTTCTGGGAACTTGAAGAACACGAAGTGGCCTCAGTTGGCTCGGGGCATTCAAAATCATCCCCAGGAATGGAGTTCTGGGAACTCGAAGACCACGAAGTGGCCTACAGTTGGCTCCCGGCATTCAACATGTGGCCCGGGAATGGAGTTCTGGGAACTCGAAGAACACGAAGTGACCTACAGTTGGCTCGGGGCATTCAAAATCATGGCCAGGAATGGAGTTCTGGGAACTCGAAGACCACGAAGTGGCCTACAGTTGGCTCCGGGCATTCAGAGTGTGGCCCAGGAATGGAGTTCTGGGACCTCGAAGACCACGAAGTGTGTAACTGTTAGCAAAAAAATCCCCGGCACCCTCCCCCGGATCGCGCCCAGACCCCCCTGGGGCGTCATGATGCCCTCTTTTGACCCTGCTATAAACCTATCAGTCTTCGCTGTTAGGTAAAAACGTAGACTGCTACACCTGATACCGCGGAGGCTTCTTCTTCTTCTTCTTCTACTTCTTCTTCTCAATAGTTTTGCTGGCCTCGGGAGCGTGTCGGATTGCGCCCTGCAGAGCTTGTCGGATTGCGCCCTGCAGAGCTTGTCGGGTGGAAGGGGAAGTGGCGAGAGAGGTCCAAGGCGGGAGAGGTCGGAGGGGCCGAAGAAGGAGGAGTATTTTTGGACTATGGAGCGCGGGATGCGCCAGCACGGTGCAGACCACCGCTCGCCGACTGCAACTGATGGCCTCTGGAGCCTCAGGTGGGCAGAGCTCCACGCCTGAAAGGTGCTGCCACTCGCACGCCAGGCGCATGCGAGGCAGGAAATCTGCATTGGTTCGGGGGGGCACTTATGTCGAAGAGTGTGCGACTCGAGCAAAAGCATTCTGGCGGAAGACGCAAGAGCTTATATCTCGAGCATGGGATTCCCGCTGCGGGACTCGCAGGGGAAGGAGGGCAACCGAGCAATGCACGACAGACATGGCATAATGAGCATGTGGTAGGGACGAGCGTTGGCGCCTTTGGGGGCCCGGGTACCAGCAACCATCCTGCACCTCGACCACCACGATTGGACATCCAGACGCACCTTGGTCCGTGAGCTGGGCCCCTGGACCGAAGTGAGCGCACTAATAGATCGACAGAGGCTGCAGATTTTGAAGGGGCCCTGGGACACACAAATAAATACACACAAACAACAAGATTCCCCATATTTCCCTATATGTTCTGGGTTTTTGTCTTCCCCCCCACTTCCCATATTTTCCCATATTTTCTGGGGGATCGACGATTCATTGTGTCTGTGTGTTTTTTCCCCTCCTGAGATTTGAAAATCAGCACACTCTGGGACAATTCCTGCGAGCCTCACGGAGGCTCGCAGCTTGGACATCTGAGAGGGTCTCCCATAAGGGGGCGATACAGCACCTCTTGGGTAGGTCAAGCGCGGCCGACGCCAAGGTCGCCTCAAACGGGAGGGGAAGCAGAGGAAGACGGGAAAGTTCAGGGAGAGTCACCCCCACGTCGTCGGCACTTTTTGGTCAGCGGACGTCAGGGTGCGCGAGGCGGTCAGGCAACGGTCAAAGCGAGCGGTGGGCTGCACCCGACGCTAATACAAGCACGAGGCGAAAGAACAAGAGACGAGAGCAGAGACAAGGCGTGGTCCGATCAGACCGTGAAGGCCGGTCGAAGAGTGCCAGGAGGGCGTGCAGCTGCGTAGGAGCAGCGGGACACTGGCCAGGGGTGGAAGTCCTTGAAGGAGAAGAGAAGCACCAGGATGTCTTAAGGCGGAACTCGGAGGGGCTGGAATGACCAAACTTGAAAAAGAAGCCCGCTGTGCCAATGGCAGGTAGGCCGGGTGCCGGGGGAAGTGCACGCCGCTAAAACTGCGCTCGGGAACCAACTTTTTAGAGGAAGCCTTGAAAAGGCTGATGGCAACCTGAAACTTGAACAGAATCCGAGAAGATAGCCCGGCACAGCGGGACACCAGCAAAACCACGTCGTCGGCACACGCACCAGCAGAAGAGGAGGAAAGGAGGGGATGGAAGGATACCTTGGATGCGAGCCTCACGCGAACCAGTCGGAGGAAGAGGCACGCTCAGAACTCGCTGGTCATTTGCGCGGCTGCCGCAAGATGCCTGCAAATCGGGCCCATACCGAGAGCCCAGAGGGTCCCACTTAGGGGGCAGCCTTGGGGGACCCCGCGGGAAATCTCCAAAAGACGGTGCCTCTCATGTCCAACCATCATGAAACCAATGGGGTCGGTTCCCAGAGCCTAGATGGCATTGAGGTATCCCTTGAGGATGGACAACCGCTTCAGCAATGCCCTAAGCCACTGTTGCGACATGACGGGGAAGACGGCGCGAATATCATGCGAAATGAAACACGGGCGACGGGAGGGGTCGTCATCGCCTATACAGTACTGCACAAACGGGCCTCCGCATCTAGATTGATGATGTGACTGTCGAACTTGCGGCATATTATGAAGCATTGCTGAGCTTCGTGAACGTGCTTTTTGGTTACCGTACTGATGAATATGTCCACTGTCCGGGCAAGGGCCTGACTGCAAGTGTTTGTAATTAAGAAGGCGACAGCTACCGGCATCCCTCACGCAATCGGTGAGGTATGGAGCTTCCTCACCTTCAGGGATGAAGGCACAAACAAAATGACTGAGACCGTCGACAGTGCCCCCGCCAAAGAGCAGTCACCTCGTAAAGACCGCTTCAAAGATGTCGAGAGGTCGCCAGAGGTCGGGAAGGAAAGGTCTGAGAGGGGGAAGACAGGGAGGTGGGAACCGAGGTTTCAGAAACGGCCTGGTCCGAGCAGGACGTCTCCGAGAAGATGGTTTCCAGTGGTCATTGATCCTGGTCGCCATGGCCGCCTGCTTCCGCAGCACGTCCTCTCGGTCCATCTAGGTGTGCTTGAGGCCGTGAAGAACGAGTCGCCGCGGTGATGGGTTCCATGCCAGAGTTTGCCTCATGGATGTCTCCTGCGCCTTGGTGTGTTCAAGGGTGCCTGCAGGAGAGTCGTCGCCTTGAGCAGCACGGCTGGCCTCCCTCTGAGCAGACTCCTGGGCTGGCAGAATTCGACAAGGTAAATGATGTACACCGTCATGCACGACGCAATGTCCAGACAGCGGAAAGCAATGTCAGATGTGGATGGAGCCGTCGTGCCAAGGGGGGGAGGAGGGAGGAGGAGGGAGGAGGGAGGAGGGGGAGGTAGGATGGAGGAGGAGGAGGGAGGAGGAGGGAGGAGGGGAGGGGGAGGAGGGAGGGAGGGGAGGAGGGAGGGAGGGAGGGGAGGGAGGGAGGGAGGAGGAGGAGGAGGAGTGTCATGAAGTGTCATGATCGCCACAGTCACAGTGGCAGAGAGGAGGAGGAGGAGGAGGAGGAGGAGGAGGGGGAGGAGGAGGAGGAGGCGGAGGAGGAGGAGGAGGAACAAAAACGAAGGAGGAGGAAAAGGAGGGGGGAGGAGGGGGCAAGAGAAAGATGGGAGAGGAGACGGTGGAGGGCCGGGCTTTACGAGGAGGAGAAGGGGGGCAGAGACGGTGGAGGGTGGAGGAGGAGGACGAGGAGAAGGAGGAGGAGGAGGAGGACGAGGAGGAGGAGGAGGGGAGAGGAGACGGTGGAGAGGGGAGGAGGAAGAGGAGGAGGAAGGAGGAGGAAGGAGGAGAAGGGGCGAGGAGACGGTAGAGTGGGGAGGAGGAGGGAGGTGCCTCCCCCCATCTTCCCGGAGTCCAACCACCCTAACATTTCTTTAGTTGGGTGGGGGCGAAGGAAAGCAGTGATGAAGTGAAGGATCAAAAAGGGGACCAGCGGTAGGATGGGGACAGGTGGGTGATGTTCAAGCCCCTCCCCACGGGGAGGGCGGAAGGGAACGATTGGTGAAGTTTTGGGTAGGGGAAGGACCAGGATAGGAACGAGACGAGATCGCAAGGAAAGAAGGGAAAGGGGAGGGGTGGGGGGATGAGAGGGGGAAGGTGATTGGAAATAATCGTTATTGGAGTGCTGAGCTTGAGTCTGGTTCAGCTCTGCTCACTGCTTGAGCAACAAAAAAGGCGCACCCCTACGTTCCAAGCTGAAACTGCCGCGCATTGCAATCATAGTTAACCATCGGATATGGGGGGCGGTAGAACACACGTACGCAAACTCTGACCACATGACTGCACAGGCGAGTCCCATGAGAGTGATTCAGCGGAGCCGACTTGCATGAACCGCCGCCCACATTAATCTCACCACAACCGAATCCTTTTTCAGACCCGTTCAAGACTGCTCTGGTATAATTGGCGCCTGCCGCAACATGCAGAAAGCACAACCCTGGGGGAGCCACCGATCAGGATTCCACCATCTAGCTGCAGGTGAAGACGAGAAAAAAAGGCAGAAGTCAGATCAGAGCGCCAGCTTCAAAACTGATGGAAATGGGACTTCACCGTGAGTTGCGAGCGATAGGACAGGAACTCCCCAGGGACGTACCAAAATCAATCCGGGCCGAGTGGGTGAGGCCCTGCCCGCCCACAGCCCGTACCAGCAGCAACAAGCTATGGAGTCAGAGAGCCAGGGGGGTACTTCCTCGAGCCGGCACGGGCGCCCTGCGATGCGGCCAGAGTTTGGCGTCGGCAGCTCCGGCGTACAGCTTGACGGTCCTCGAGTGCGCCCACTATGCTGGCCAGCGCACGAAACGTCTCGGCAACAAGGAGGCGTCAGACACCTGCGGCCTCAACGAGTCTCCCCCAGAGCAGCTTATCCTCGCTCTCCTCCTCCTTATCCTCCTCCTCCGCCTCCACTCCTGCCTCCACTCCCGTCTACCTACGTGCACGTTGAAGGGAGGGTCTGCTCCTCCTCCTCATCCTCCTTCTCCTCCTCCGCCGCCGCCTTTTTCTGCTCATTGTCACCCTCCTCCTTCACAGCCTCTTGCCTTCCTGTTCTTCCGCCTCCTCCTCCTCCTTCTCCTCCTCCTCCTCATCGTCATCATCATCAGCATCATCAGCATCATCAGCATCAGCATCATCATCATAATCATAATGATTATCAGCAGCAGCAGCATCATCGTTATCAGCATCCTCATCATCATCGTCGTCATCAGCATCGTCATCATCATCATCATCATCAGCATCATCATCATCATCATCATCGACATCATCATCATCATCATCATCATCATCATCGTCATCATCAGCATCGTCAACATCATCATCATCAGCATCATCACATCACTCCTCGCTTCCTTCGTGATCTCTCACCCGCACTCGAAATTGACTTGTCTGTCGATGTCCCGTCGGGGAGGTGGCGTCTGGACGCTTCGAGCCTGGAAGGGGCTCTCCGACTTCACGTACGCGTACTCGTCGGACCTCGGCGAAGCAGCAGCAGAGCAACAAACACATGTTAGAAGCAGAGCAACAAACATCTGTTAGAGACGGGCGTATCGGGGCAGCGAAGCCCCTCACATGCGCACGGAGTCGTGGGAGGGAGCAGGGCAGACCCTGGGCCCCAGGAGAGGCCTCGGTGGTCACGAGCTGGCAGGTCGGCCTCCATTGCAGGGCGGCAGGGCCCAGCGGTACACAGCTGGCCGCGAGCCTGATGACTGTAGGCAGGGGCATCTCCGAGAGGAGGGGGACGACGGCTACCAGGAAGAAGAGGAGGAGGAGGGGAAGACGAACCAGAAGGAGGAGGAGGAGGAGGAGGAGGAGCAGGCGCAGCCTGAGGTGCGCCGATCCATCCGAAGAGAGGCCGGCGCACTGACTTTACAGGAGGCGGGCCTCGCCGCGATCGAGCAGCGGACCGCGGGGAAGGATGCCCGACCGAGCATGAGAGAGCGGCGTGCCGGTGCTCAACGGCCAGAGGCGGGAGCACGCATGTGCCTTGACAAGTTCTGGCATGAACGCCCCGCCCAACCAATCCCCAGACTCATAGCCGCCCCGACTTGATTCCAGACGTTGGCCGTCCAGACCTCCAAGGCGCGTGCCTGATGGAGAGAGAAGCGGAGGTTACATTTGAAACGCAGTTTTTCCTCACCTACTGCTGGCACTGCCCTCAGACAGCCGGGCTCGGCGTCAATCCCAAACTCCAGAACCTATGCTCCCCCTCAAAGCCACCCCAACTTGATTCCAGACGTTGGCCGTCCCGACCGTTACGGCGGGTGATCGATGGAGCGAGACAACGGAGGTTTGTTCCCCATCTACTGCTGGCACTACCCTCAAACAGCAGGGCAGGGGAGGGGGGAGCAGGAGAAGATCATAGCTCGGCGCTCTGGCGGGCCGCCAGAAAGCATTTGTGAGCGAAGCCATAAGAGCCCCAGGCGCGCTCTCTCTGACGCTCTGGCAGAGAGTCAAGCTCAAACTTCAGAGTACGAAAAAGATAAGAAGCGATGATCATCCTGCGGATGACCGCCGGGGTAGCGTCGTCTGGGCACGCATGGTCCTGCTCGGAGCCAAGCCCCCACATGACAGGAAAGCGAGGACTCGGGAAGGAGGAGGAGGAGGAGGAGGAGGAGGAGGAGGGAAGGAGGAGAAGGAGCAGCAGGAGGAGGAGGAGAGGGACAAGGCGGAGCGGGAGAAGGATCGAGAGGGGGGATTGTCTGGCGAGAGTCCAAGGCATTCGCGCAACGAGAACATAGAAAAAACAACTCGCCCGTCCTAGACTCCTAGACGGGGAGGAAGGAGTGGCGAAAGGAGGAAGGGAGGAAGGACGAGGGAGCGAGGAAAGAGGGGGGAACAGGCAAGACAAGGGAGGGGGCCAGGACGAGGCTCCTGGATATTCTTGGAGGAACCTGGGGGAGGCGGTATGCTTCGTCCTGGAATGTTCTGCGGGGCTGGGGTGGCAAAGCCCCGACTCGAGTACAGCGCCGAGGGAGGGCAACTGCAAGCAGCATCGAGTCTACCACAGTCTGGGCCCGTCCATACGGCTGGTGTCGTTTTCGTGTGTCCGACCCTCTCGTCTCCGCAGTCTTTCGGATCGGGCCCAAGCCCGACCGGGGCGACGGTTCGGTGAGAAATGGGAGGGGGGGACAGCCTCGTAATCTTGATTACGAGGATGAAGAAACACACGGCTTATTCACCCTCGTAACCTTGACCTCCTGCTGCCTTGGTCGCGCGCTGCACGGCACGGGGGCCTAGAATGCCACCCAGAGTCCGAAACGCGTCGACAGGAAAACAGTGGCTGGGCTCGGGAATGCGCCAAGGGCGGCCCACCCTCCCAACCCTCCCTTGATCCCTCTCCTCCCTCTCCCCGCTGCCCCACAACTTGGCACCGAGCACTAATTACCAGGAAGCTGGAGCACACTCGTGGCTGGATTTACGTGCAGAACACTTGGAGGCCACGCGCTGGATACGCGTGAGCCCAGCCTACACTTCCACAGGAGGGCCGAGCGCCGGCAAGGCATGTGGACACGCGTGAGTGTACCCAGCCCCCCGGTGCTGCCGCAGCGTCGCCCGCGGTCCGAGCGACAGGGCCCCTCCTGCCGCGCCGCCCTCCGCTGCCCCGCCGCCCCAGCCTGCGAAGCGAAGCGCCAGCGCCACAGGGCGAGGCGGCCGCCGCGGCCCCGCTGCGGGCAGGGCCGCGCCCACCACACGCTGGGGCGTGGCGGGCGGGGTCGGGCGCGGCCTAACCGACCCCTGCGTAGCAAACCACCCCCTTCCGTGACGTCACCCTCGCCTCTCAAGCTTCCCTCCGGCCGCGTACATCCGTCTTGGGGCGAGGCGAGCGGGACGTCACGGAAGGGGACGGTTCGCTAGGGGTCGGTTAGGCCGCCCCTGACGGGTGGGCCGTGGCCCCGTTTGAGGACGAGAACAAAATCGGGCAAGGATAAGCGAGTTCCGGAACGCTCTGAGAGCGCTCCGGAGGCCTCTGGAACGGATTCCTCCTCACCCCCCTAGGTGGCCCCGCCCGAGATGTTGGCCGGCGGCAAGGTCATCGCGGGGTCCGGATTCGGGCCGGGGTCTTCCCACGGGATCGTGGGATCCGGGCTCGGGCCGTGGTGTTCCCTTGAGGGGGGGCAGGAGAGGGGAGGGGCAGGAGAGGACAGGGGATGAGAGAGGAGAGAGGAGGGGAAGGGAGTGGAGAAAAGAGATGGGGAGGGTAGGCGAGAAGGGCGGAGAGGAGGAGACTGCCGGGGGAAAGGAAGAGAGGGCCCGAGGGACGGCCATCCTCCTCCTTCTCCTTCTACTCTGACTCTCCTGCCCCGAACCTGATCAAGCATCCCTCATACCTCACAACGCAGAGTTATCTCCTCCAGCTCCTCCGCCTCCTCCTCCTCCTTATCCTCCCCGTCCCCGTTATATTCCAGCTGTTCCTCCTCATCACTACTAGTCACCATCCTTCTTACGTTCAGCCCGTTCAACTTAGCGTTCCTTCTCCTGAACACTAATCCTCCTCATCTTCCTGCTCCTCCTGATCGCCCTACAGGTCTCATCCTCCTGCGATTGTTCCTCCTTATTGTCCTCCCTTGTACTGCTCTTTCTCTTCTTCCTCACGCTCATCCTCATCCTCACCCTCCTCCTCATCATCACAATCACCATCGCCATCACCATCACTACTTCGGGGGTACTAAAAGTTTTGACCATAAGATGAGAATTGCCTCGCTGGTCACGCGTGCCGCGGAGGACCGATCAGGATGCAAAGGTGCCTTGATGCGGATTCGCGAGCCTTTGTGGGCCCTCTGGGACGGCCAACCAGTGAACCGAGAGCGACCGCATTGGAGAAGGATGCCCAGGGTCTCACAGCATCAATGCAAGAAGGAATACAATGAAACATCGCGTTGGCATGATAAGGACAGGGTCGATGGGGATGATGACACGGACGATCAAACGTGACCCAAGCGAAGTGGTTTACTGTGAATGGGTTCAAGTGGGAGTGTTTTCCGGCCCTATTGTAAATGGGACGGAGTAATTATCACCCTGTTTAATATATATATATATATATATATACTATTCTTACAGGGTGAGAGCCCATCGGAGTCGAACCGCCGCCCGACCCAAAACATGTCGCTAATATTCTACGGGGGGGCAGGGGGCGTCGACAGCATGACGTCTTATGGTCAAAAATATAGTACCCCCCGTGTATCACCATCACCATCAGCATCACCATCATCATCAGCATCATCAGCATCATCAGCATCATCAGCATCATCATCAGCATCATCATCAGCATCGTCATCAGCATCATCAACTCATGAACATCATCGTCAGCATGATCATCATCAGCAGCATCGTAATCATAATCATCATCACCACCATGATGATCATCGTAATCATCATCGTCATCATCAGCAGCAGCTTCATCGTCATCATCGTCATTCTCATCATCAACATAAACATGATCAGCATCAAAATAGAATATTCAACATCCTCATCGTCTGCAGCCTCACCATCAATATCGTCATCGTCATCAGCTGCAGCATAATCATCATCGACGTCAGCAGCATCATCGTCAGTATTAGAAACATCCTTGTCGTCATCAGAATCATCAGCATCGTCGTCGTCATCACCAGTATCATCATCGTCATCATCAGTATGACCATGATCATCATCATGACCGTCATCAGACTCATCCTCCTCGTCACCATCATTATCGTCAGCATTCGCATCGCCATCGTAAGCATTACCACCATCACCGCCATCAGTAGCATCATCATCATCATCATCATCATCATCATCAGCGGCATCATCATCATCATCATCATCATCAACATCATCCTCGTCATCATTATCGGCATCAGCATCATCATCACCACCAGCAGAATCATCATCCGACTCATCATAATCATCATGATCAATCAGCATCCTCATCAGTATCACCATCATCATCAGCATCGTCAACATCATCACCGTCATCATATACATCACCATCAGCACCATCATCAGCATCATCAGCATCATCATCAGCAGCATACGCAGAATCATCAGCAGCAGCATCAGCATAGCAATCATCATCACCATCAACATCTGCAGCACCATCCTCGCCAGCATCATCCCTTATCCTTGTGCATCCACCCTCCACCCTCATTGTTACTGCTCCCCATCCTCCCCCACATTCGTAGCGTCGTCGGCGTCGTCTTCGTCACCGACATCTGGTTTGACTCAATGGGGAAGCACATTGAGGATATTGACATACGCCTGGCGAACTTGGAGAACACGGTTGAGTCCACACACGCAGCAACACCACCATTGAGTGCGAAGGGTGAAGCATGAGATCATGCCCAGGCCTTGGAGGTGGAGGACGGGCAGCTCAAAGGGAAAGCCCCGATCCACACCACTACCGGCGGAGCGAGCAGCAACGACGCTAAAGAGCTGACGGCGGCGACTGGCGGGACACATGAGGCCCAGGATCGGCTGAAGAACAAACTATGGGAGAC